CATCTTCTTACTGCCCGGGTGCATGGTGTACGTAGTGTCGTGAGCTTCACGCAATAGGCGCTCCCTCACCTCACCACCAGGTACCACCAGACAATCCCGGTAGAACAAGACTCCGTCGTTGTCGATGGTGAATTCCTGTCTCTCCCCCTTAGAGACAAGCTCCCTTGTCTTTGCACAATATTCGTCCCCTTGTTGGGTCGCGCAAATCTCACTCCTCAAGGTTGGCTGTAGCCGCAGTTCAGCCATAGTCTTCCGACTCAAAGCGTCGGCCACCACGTTGGCCTTCCTCGGATGGTAATCAATGTAGCAGTCGTAGTCCTTAATCAGTTCTAACCATCTCCTCTGTCTCAGGTTCAGCTCCTTCTGAGTGAGCAGATACTTCAAGCTTTTATGATCTGTATGTATGTATGTAGTTTCTCCAAACAGGTAGTGTCGCCATATCTTTAATGCAAATACCACTGTCGCTAGCTCGAGATCATGGGTGGGGTAATTGCATTCATGTGGTTTCAACTGTCGTGAGGCGTAGGCTACGACCTTACCTTCCTGCATAAGCACACATCCCAACCCATTATGGGACGCGTCGCTGAACACAGTGTAATCCACGCCTGGTGTGGGCTGCAGCAATACGGGTGCCTCAGTCAAGCATCTCTTATGTTGGTCAAAACTCTTTTGGCAGGCCTCTGTCCAAATGATTTTGACGTCCTTTTTCAGGAGTTTGTTCAATGGGGTTGCAATGGAGGAGAAACCTTCCACGAAGCGCCGGTAATATCCCGCTAAATCAAGGAAGCTTCTCACCTCGCGTGAGTTCCAGGGAGTCTTCCACTCTGTGATAGCTGAGATCTTGTCAGGGTCCACCTTGATACCTTCCTTCAAAATCACATGTCCTAGGAATGTGACTTTGTCGAGCCAAAACCTACACTATGACAATTTGGCGTAGAGTTTGTGTTCCCTGAGAACACTCAACACGACCTGCAGGTGCTTAGCATGTTCCTCAGGTGTCCTAGAATACACTAGGATATCATCGATGAATACCACCACGAACTGATCCAAATAAGGGCGGAAAATGTTGTTCATAAGATCCATAAATATTGCTGGGGCATTAGTCAACCCAAATGGCATCACCGTAAATTCATAATGCCCGTAGCGTGTACGGAAGGCGGTCTTAGAGATGTCCTCCTTCTTGACTGGAATCTAGTGGTATCCAGATCGAAGATCGATCTTGGAAAATACTGTGGCTCCTCTGAGCTGATCAAACAAGTCGTCGATGCATGGTAACGGATAGCGATTCTTGATGGTTACTTTGTTCAACTTTTGATAATCGATACAAAGCCTCATAGAGCCATCCTTCTTTCGAACAAATAGCACTGGTGCTCCCCACGGGGACGCACTTGGTCTGATAAATCCCTTCTCAAGGAGTTCCTGGAGTTGGGCCTTCAGTTCCTTCATTTCTGCTGGTGCCATATGATATGGTGTGGCGGATATGGGTTCGGTCCCTAGAATCAGATCGACGGAGAATTCTACCTCCCTTGGCGGTGGTAGGCCAGGGAGATCATCGGGGAACACCTCTGGGAACTCACTCACTGCGGGGATGTCCTTTAGTTCGGGGGTTGTTTTGCGCACATCACGTACATTGCAAAGAAAGGCCTCGCATCTCTTCCGGATGAGACGTTTAGCTTGCATAAGGGATACGAACTCAGGGGGTTTAGGGAACAATTCCCCCTTTACTTTGATGACCCCACCGTCGTCGGCCTTCAGCCGTACGGTGCGTAGTTCGCAGTCGATTATTGCTTGGTGCTCTGTCAGCCAATCCATGCCAAGGATAATATCAAATTCCTTGTATGGTAGCTCTATTAAGTTCGCAGAGAGTGCCTGTCCGTCACTACTACAAAATGATTATTTAACAGCGCACTTTACACAACGGATAAATTAGAATCGGTGTCTATTCCCTAGGGTAAAACGCAGGCATCAAAAATTTTAGAGCTGCGCACTAAAAATTTTAGTAATGCACCAGTTACATCGGATAAAAAATACCCGCTGCCTTTTTCACTCAAAACTATCAACTCTTCTTCTTCTCAATGAGATCAAATCTGCGTTGACACCCTAATCGACTCCATCTCTAGCAATAGACACCCCTATCCCTACCTTTAGACGCCATCTCTCCTCGCCATCTATGGCAGTCGACTCCCCCATCTATACCTTCTAACGCCATCTCTGGCAATCGATACCCCCATCTCTAGAGTTCAGTAGTAATCGACGCCATCTCTTCTCGCCAATGAACGCAAGCTCCAACCCTAATCAATTGCCTCCCCCCTCAACTCGCCAATGAACGCCATCTCCAGATGACCTCACCAACGAATACTGTCAGTGAGCATCTCTCTCAAACCATCGCTATTGAACGGTCATAAATTTAAGGTTAGCCCTCTTTATTTTGTTTCCTTGTGCTTTACTATACAAATTAGCCATTCATGAATGTTTTGGTTTAACTCGAATCTAGGTGTGCTTCTTCTACTATTTGCTTTTGCAATGTTTCAGCCCCTTGTGCTTATTCTATACTGTATCTGATGTTTTGTACTCCAGTAATAGTTTTGGTTTCAAATGATCAAATTAGAGCTTTAATATAGTATTATCTCTTGCTTAATTTTCCTTTCAAACAGTGCATCTCTATGGAGGGATGATAACAGTGTAATTTGATTGAGATTTTAGTAGTGGTCTTGTTTTTGTTGGAACATCTTATTATAGTGTTAGTCTGCTCTGAGGATCAATTATTACATCTCCATCTCTATCAGCTCCCAATGCTGGTGACCAATACAATGCCTGTTCGTCAAGCACCACCTGCTGCTGTGTCTTCCCATTTAGAAACCACTACTCGCTTGGGGCTGCTGCCCTCTCAGCAATGCTCTGTTCTGTGAGGTTCACAACTGTTATTGCTCTCCAAACTACCATGTTTGTAATGTTAGACATGGCACCTGCTGAAAGGTATACCTTTCCTTATTTCTCATATTTTATTCTATACAATTTATTACTAAACTCAGATGAGAATATTGCTCATGAGAGTTCTCAATATGGGAATACTGAATGTGGAATTGCACATTTTTTTTACTTGCTGGTGTAGATCTTTATATGTTTAGTTTTGGACTGTTTGGCTATAATGCATAGAGTATGAGTTAAAAAAAATATACTAAAAAATTGAGTTTAAGATTGGATTCATCTTTTTCGTTAGAGAGAAATTTAATTTAATTTTCAAGATAGTTTTAATTTTCTGAAATGATTGGAGGTATAACATTAGTTCATTGATACTTTCTTTTATTACTTTGTCTTACGATCTTTTAATGTGTTGTAGATGATGCAGGAACAGCTATCACTTAGAGCATAGAGAGAATCTGCATATATTCAATTCTACTCTCATAGTAAGAACTTGACAAACATTACTCTGTGATATTTTGGATTTATTGACTACCATGTTGTTGGATCTTAAACATATCTTATTCAAATCAGTTTATAAACTCTTTCCATTTCAATTATGATATGAATATTTCTACAGGTTGAGACCAACTCGGAAATTTTTTCTTTCAACATCAATTAGTAATTAGAAATTATACTAGTTTAAGAATCATCTTTGGCTCTTGAAAATGATAGTTGGCAGCTATTGCCTCAGCAAAATATGGATTAGCCTACTTCGCAATATTCATTCAAGAAAAAAAATGATATTGAAGGCTTTCATTGCTGTTTTTTCAATAGGTGTTATCCTATAAGAAGTACTATTATGTAATCAACAAGATTTGCAGGCTAGTTTTTTAGTCTTAAATTATTTGGGTTTGAATATTCCCGGATTTGTTTTCTTTAGGTTAGTTGTGGGATTTAGATATTATTGTTGCTTTCTCTTTTCGTTTAAAAAATCATATGTTTTACTTATAATCTCTTCTCTTGTCAACAACTCTTTTTTTATACTTTCTTTTATAATCTAAAGCATGTGCCTACACCTGTCAGCCAAATGATCTATATGGAAATGCCTAAAGCTAAAAAATGAGACTGCTCACGGTTATGTTTATTTTTCTAAGTGAGTTATATGTTTCTCCTTTGGAAACTAATAAGTTCTTTCCCTTTTTTCTTTTTCTTGGCAAAGAATGCAAACATTGCCCTTTAGTTGTGTGGGTGCAGGTTTGCGTGTCAATCCGCACGTATGGGTGTTGATGCTGCAGGTATGTCTCGCTCTCTAGTAGTGGATACTTTATTTCACTACCCTCACTTCTTCAATGGTCAATTTTCTTTTCCATTTACCTTTTCAGTTCCTTTGTTTTTGGGTGTAGCATTATGGTTGCTGATATAAGATGTGAATGCAGTGGAAATCAACAAATCCAGCACTCAGTTGCATAGATAACAAATGGGGCAAGCATGAACGAAGAACAATAATAATTTTTACCCAAAAACATTTGTTAACAAACAAGATGATTGTAACTAACTACTTTTTTTAATAGATACGTAGTACATTTATTGAATTTTGTAAATTGGAATTTGAATTGATGTTATAGCTCAATAAAATGCTTATGCATGTAATTTTGTAGTAGATAGTTTACAATAGTATAATATTTTTTAAATACAAATTCTCTAAGGTTTGCCTGAAAATATAAAAACAACATTACACAGCGGATATTTATCCGCGGTCTAAAGCCTGTACTTTAGACAGCGGATAAATATCCGCTGTATAAGGTCCTGACTTATTGCACCGGTGGTATATACAGCGGACAATATCCGCTGTCTAAACTTGATTTTATCCGCTGTATAATGTTTATCCTGTAGTAGTGCGTGGGCGGTCAACGGACAATTCTGGAACACGTGGTGTAATCTCATGCTATGCCCTAATGGATTGGACACTATCATGGGGTACTCTAAGTTGCCTCTCGAGATGTCAGACCTCTCCGGCATAGGAATGCAAATATAAGATAGCGTAGAACCCGGATCAATAAGTGCTAGCATGTGGGTATCAAATAATGAGAACATACCAAGAATGACGTCCCTGTTTACTTCGGTTCGTCCCTGCATGGCATAGGTGCGCGCTGGAGTTCCTCCGTGTTGGCGATCATGACTCTGGTTTTGACTTTGGCTCTTTCGCGGGTTCGATCCTGCGGTAGTATGCTGGCTCTGTGTAGGCCGGGCCGCAGTCGGCTGTGTCTGCATCTCGGCGGTAGAAAACGCGGGTTCTGGATTTGTAGGACAATCCCTCTTGAAATGTCCCGCCTTACCGCATCCCACGCACAACCCCTGTGTGAACCAGCATTCTCCTGGATGGTTCCTCCCGCAAAGATTACACTTAGGGTGCCTAGATGGTCGCGGCTTGCTGCTTGTTGAGGACATGTCATGCGGTCCAAAACAAATTAAAAATTTATAAAATATCCTTAACTAACCCCCAAGATATAATCAAATAAAAACTATAGCTAGGGCAAGTAAGGGTCGATCCCACGGGGAAAGTTTGTACTTTTCAAAAACCAATTTAGCATGCAAACACATTGTCACAAAAATAAAACAAATTAAAGTATACTAACTACTACACATAAGTTTTAAAAAAAAACTACTACACATATGATAAGACTTATAAAACTTATAATAAAACTTATAACTAAATAAATATAAAAACTTATAAATAAAACTTATATAAACAAAGAACTTATAATATAACTTATAAACTCATAACAAATACTAAAGTATATAAAAGTAAATAAAATATAAAAACTTATATTTATAACTTATAGACAAACCCTTATAATATAACTTAGAACACAAAAGGGGGTTGAATAAAAAGTAAATATTTTTTTGATTTTTTATTTTTCTTATTTTTTGGTTTTTTGATAAAATGGAGGAAAGCAGGCTCAAAAAGATAATCAACTACTCCAACAAAGGTAATCCAAGAAACACCGCCAAGAACCCGAAACAAAATTAAAAAGAGAATGAACACAAATAGAAGATTACACGTATAATGGGCACTTAGACAATATATTACGTAACTTACGCACTTAAAAATAGAACAATAATAACAACAACCAGGTGAATCCCACAACAGTAGGGTCTGGGGAGGGTGTGTGTACGCAGACTTTGCCCCTACTCGGAAGTATGGAGGCTGTTTCCCAGAGACACTTAAAAATAGAAAAGAATTCAAAGGCTCGAGTTGATTCATATCCTTGACCACATATAGAAGATCGTCAACTCTCTATAAGGCCCGGAGTCAAACATTTTTTTTAATGCATTTTATTAAAAATCAAAGAATACAAACGTCTGAACAAGCGGGAACAGGCTCCTCACTTGTATAAAAAGTAAGCAACAACCAAAGAACTATAATGTGAAGCGCTTATCGGGTATTGGAACATAGACTTAAGTACAATTACAAAGCCGGCTCAAAACATTCCACTTAGATCTAGGAGTAAAATCATTCCCGGAGCCTCAACCCCCGCAAGGGTAAGGCCTAAGGTCAGATAATCCGATCAAGTAAAAATGTTCTAAGCCAAGAAATGCAATCGACATAAGTCCAGTCTAAAATCCAGAAAAGCCCAACTAAAGACGGAGTCAAACATTCAAAGGCCTTTTGGATCACTTTGAACCCCCACTCACCTCAAGCGCTCAAACAATGATTCCAAAAGATGAAAAAGTTTATAAAAGAGCGAATCTTTCTTTCATTCTAACTCCCATGCACAAAGTATTCATGAAGAACATTTGATACACTTTAATAAACTTTAACGTCTAATGATGAAAATATTTGGCAGGTCTCCTTGATTAACTCAAGCATAAGAATTGTAATCTATTCACATAAAAGAACATTACATATTTTCAAAAACTTAAAAAAAAATTTTGTGGTTAAACAACCTTAAATTTTATGAAAATCAACGAACAAACACACGAACGACATAACAATCACTTCATAACGAATCTTAAGGAAAATGTCCAACTTATGGGGCTAAGAAGTCCATAAACCTTAAAATTTTACAAAACACATAGCACAACAAAAATCACGTATGAATTCGGAAATCATTTAACTATAATATGGAGCTAAAATAGCTTCAATAAAAACCAAATTCTACATACCAACCTACTTATGAAATCAAACCGTGTGATTCAACCAATTCAACAACAATTTGCACAACAATTGATGAAAATTAAGATAAATCAATTCTCATTCATAAGGGATTTAATATAAACATTAAAAAAACCATAAAAAAACACCAACCATTTTGGAATTTTCGCAATTAACACAAACAAGGAAAAAAATGTAAAAATTAAATTGAGACAACACTTTTACAAAGAAATTGGAGAAGAAAAAGAAATTGACAAATAAGGCTTACCAAATGTTGAAGAAGATGAAGAACTTCAAGAAAATTGGAGCTGGAGTAGGTCCCTACCGCTGCCGCCACCTGCCATCGTAGAACGCCGGCGAGCCTTCGTTGGCCGCCGTCTGCATCTCCGCCGGTGGGTTGCGTCAATATCAGCGGCAAGAGCCGCTGCTCTGTTATTTCGGTACGATTCCCCTCCCCAATTCTCGTCCAATTCCTCTCAATTTATAGCCAGGAGATTTCTTCCCGTTGAGATTATTCCCGTTGAAGCTTTAATTGGGCGAAATTCATGGAGGAACGTTGGAGCGTGCTTGACTTCGGCCCTGGCGTTATCTTTGTTGTGGAAGAAGTCGTAAACTTCTTTTTTTTTTTTGCCGTGCGTGAGATTGGAGAAGAAAGAGTGTGCTGGGATGGTCTTCTTTTGTTGATGATGGTTTGGGATTAGGCCCAAAATCAATCTCTTTTTTTCAAACTTGAGCTTCAATTTAGCCTTTTGCTACATTTTTCTCCAAAAATAAGATATCTGATAACTTGGGTTAGGAAAATAAAATAAAAATAATAAAATGTAAAAAGTGATTAAAAACTACTCCGTACTATTTATTCAAGAAAATTAAAAGATTGTGAAAATTAAAATTAAAATAAAACTAAGCAAAACAACTAAAAATTAAACACTAAAAATATTAAAAATGCCTAAAAAAAATAAAAAGAACCAAACCAAACCCGACTTATCACTACTCGAAGCTCTAGACTTGGCTGGTCCTGACTTAGTCTTTTTGGAATGCGGCATGCTGTGACCTCCTCCAGGGGTTCGCTTGCCACCTGACGTGACGACGGCCTTGTGTTGGGTGCTCGGCTCCTCCGAACCGGCCACACTCTTCTTCCACGCGATTAGCCCCTTCTCAGCTTTCTCTATTTGGTTGTATCCCGCTGTGAAGTCTGTTGTTGGCACAGCTGACAGGTAGGACTGTATATCTGGTCAGAGTTTGGTGGTGAACTCCTCAATGCGATCTGCTATGGTACCCACCAAAGTTCCTGCAAACTGGGCTAAGTGATCAAACCTCTGTCGAAACTCAGGGAGTGTCATGTCTCCTTGCCTCAAAGCCACGAACTCATCCTGTTTTCCCTCCCGGAAACGAGGCGGAATGTACTCCTTCTGGAAAGAGCTGTCGAAATATGCCCATGTCAGTGGCTCAAGGGCGTTCTCACTTGCTCTCTTCCACCACTCATATGCCCCTTTGCGCAGCAACTGGACAGCTAGCTCGGGGCGATCAGCTTCTGGAATCCTCAAGTTCTTTAATACCCTCGTGGTTTGATCCAACCAGTCGAAGGCAATCTGTGGTTCTGCAATGTTGTCTCCAAGAAACTCCTCGGCGCCGTTATCCTTTAACGTCTTTAGGGTGACCTGCCGAACCGGCGGCGGTGGTGGCGGCTAGAACATCTGCGCTTGCTCCATCCGCTGTAAGAAGTGCATCATGAAAGCCGGTAATACGGGGTCCGACTGGCCTCCAATATTCGGGTGATTTCCCTCGTTCTGGTGTATGTTCTGTTGTCCCACGTTTTGTTGAGGAACGAAGCTGGATCCTTCAGTGTGGGCATCAACGTGTTCGTCATCGATGCGGTGGGTGTTACCCTGACCGTGGGTGGAAGCTTGACTCATTCTATAAGAATTCAAACTTTCCTAATCAGTCAACAACGTATAATAGACAGAGCTTATTAACTTATTACCTTCCCGGGGCAGATGAGTCTCAAGAGATGTGGTGTAGCCTTTTGGAAACCATTCATTCGTGATCCGAAGATCGTTTTTAAAACCATATGCTCTGATACCAAAATGTAACACCCCAACCCGCATAACACGGATCCACGGGTTAGCGAATTGGGTTGCCACTATTCCGGTATTTAACATACGCGACTTTTCAAAACAATTTAAGAAAACATCCAACAGTTCAGCAAAAATCCAATATCAGAGCAAACAGAAGTAGTGCGGAAGCTTGATAAGTAAATAAATGCAACTTGGGACTCATGCCCGAAAACGTATTAAGTTATTCATAAATAATTAGGAGTTCCAAGTCCTCCATTAGTTCCACCCAAATCTCCTCGTCCTCATCTCCTTCCGGGATCGGCTCTAGATTTATCTTCTACCTGATTACCTGCATGTAGCACACAAACAACTACACGCTCAGCATTGACGCTGAGTGAGATATAACTAACATCAAGTAAACAATCAAAGGAAGCCACAATTCATAATAGTCAAGTGATATCATGCAATCAACACGTAATTCACACATGCACAGTGCAACTTACACAGTTTACCTAGCGCCTCACTGTTTCATTCACTTCCAACCTGTTTATCATGTTTGGTGGATCACCATAAACCTTGTCCCTATAGCCTATCCTAGTCTAAGGACTTTAACTTTACTGTATGGGAGACATGAGGGTTCCCACTGGATCAGTGGGTCATGCTCAACCAACGAAGGAGTTCTCCGTTGGGTGGGTGGAATCCCCACCTCATGGATCACTAGGCAATTCAAGGATACCCGTACGTACGTTTTTACCCGGTTTGACTTAACCATTGGAGCCCAGCAGGCATCCACCTGGTTTATACTCTTAAGTCTTATATTTGAGTCAGTCCCAAGGGCTTTCCCTGGATAGTCTTACCTTACCCAACATGTTGGATCAACACGTAGTACCTGTTTGCTGGGCGGTGGATCAGCCCACTCGTACTTGCAACATCATGTGCAATATATATGTATTCCACATAATTAACATGCGTCGGATCAACACCTTCTAGCAGAGATATATCATTTAGTGGTTTGTCTCGGGTGTTGACACCCCTGAGTTCCCGTCATGCAATACACCCAAGCCTCGGAGTTCGTCCTCGGCGAAACATGGTTTGCTGCCCGGTTCAGGTACCTCACGATACCCTTAACGGTAGGGGGTACCGCCCCCACAGTACCGAGGTACCGTATCACGGTACGTAGGTACCGACCGGTATGCCTGTTACTTCCGCATGGTGCCCTGTCACGGTAGCCGCTATCGACCGGGCGGTAGGGCCTACCGTCCTTCCGGTACTAGGGTACCGGTTGGTGACAGGTACCGGCAGAGGGAGGTAAAAACGAGGAAGGTGACGGTACTAGGGTACCGTCCCGGCGATACCGACCTACCGTTCACCGCGACAGTTCCAGTTCCTACACCAGTTCGTTTTCCTCTCGGTATTCAACACCGATTCCCCAATTCAATGTTCGAAGATGATGATAAACACATAATGAATGTCACATAGCCACGTAATTTCAACATATGTTTTAAAACATGAATTCTACCCATAGTTTCCATCAAAACCCAACAATTCCCACAGGATCATAACAAATAGGTTTTAATGCAACTCAATCCCCATGATGATTACGAACATAGATTTCAAACCTAATGGCCTACTCTAAGGTTAGGGTTGCACGTACTCACCTTGAAACGATGAAAACTAACTCACGAACGAAAGGTTTGGACGGTGACGAGACAGCGGTGGTTGACCGGCGACCTCTTCCTTCTTCTTCTTTTTCTTCTTCTTCTTCCTGGGCGCTGCAGCAGTTGTCGACAGAGAGAGAGGGAGTGAGAGACGTGCGATTATGCGTTGATATGTGTGGAGGCGTAAAGGGTTTTAGGCGTGTAGGCTTATATTTATATTTTTGGGGTTTTGGGCCCCGTATTAACTTAACGTACCTAGCCCAAACGCACTATCCAGGCCCAGGGGTTCCAAATTTGAATCCGATCGCGCTGTTGGATTCGTTTCGTCGAACCCTACACAATGGTATAACTTTTAATATTTGTTGTTAGCTTCTTCAAATAATTCTTGGGTCCGTCTCAATAACTAATTAATTATAATTAATTAATTAATTCTGATAGGCCGGGTTTTGGGGTGTTACAGTAGATTAGTGTAGAAATAATTTTAAAGTATTTTTTGGAGAATTTCTGTTCGAGATTCGTTCTATTCCGCTTGTACGGAAGTTGTAAGTTTTCTTTATTTAATAAAATGCTATTTTAATTTATGTTTGCATCGTATGAGTTAGGGTCCGGATCTCTAGGACCGGACTAGTTTGGTTGTATATTAGTCAATTGTTCTTGCCTTATTTAGTTAATTAATATTGAAAGATTTAATTAGCTATTTGTTGAGAAAATATTGTATGCCAAAGGGCTATGATATTCAAGTGCGACGGATTAAGTACAAATCTAGAAATGGATGAGTAATAATAGAAATATAATTATTCCAATTGTTAATTAAATATGATAAAATAAATCCAAATGATGTCCTGACCCTAGTCCAGATCTACACTTATACTATGTGAAATTTATTTATTATTGTTATTATTCTGCTACCCTTATATTCGTTCCGAGAAGACTTTCATAAACATGTCCTAACCTTCGCCTAGTTAGAGTAATTAGACTAATTCCCTTCATCCACTCCTCGAGAGACACGGCACTCAGAGAGAAAACTAACCCTTTATAGGGAATGTTTACTACCCGAAAAACTACGATCATCATGTATTGCGTCTATTCACTCTTTGTCGTCATTGAGTAATCCAAGGGCGTAACAGGCAACCTTGAGTGGAGAACACAGTTTATTTTGGGGATATCTTCTGCTGTTGGGTGGACGTAAGATATTCTTCGCACGCAATTTCCTCGTAGGTAGTAGCGCTCTCCTGCTGTTGGGTGGACGTAAGATATTCTTCGCACGCAATTTCCTCGTTTCCTCTCTGTCCATTGCTTTATTGTTTTCCACTTCTGTTTTTCTTCATCCCATATTTTGACGCTTGGGTTCCACATGTACTTACCTGGGAAGTCAGCATATGTCAATGTCCTTGCTTCCTCACTTATTTTTTTAATGGTCATCCATTGAGTGAGCATTGTTTGGTGCGATTTTTTGTCATCTATTGCTTCGACAATGTTCTTTTCATCTTGTAGCGTGAGCTACTCCCCAGGTAAATGGACAAATAGGCACATCACTGGAATACTTCTAAGATGAATATCATGTTGAAAGATTCACTAAAAAAACTGACTTTATGTGGCAGCAAATTTTGCCACAAAACATAAAATATTAGCCACAATAATAATTTGTAGCAATTTTGAAATTTGCCACAAGGTTGCCACAAATACCCCGTTACAAAAGGTATTTGTGGCAAATTTTAATTTGCCACAAAAAGTATAGTCTTCGTGGGAAATTATGATTTGCCACTAATAAAACTTTGCCACAAAAGCTCATATTAAGTGGCAAATTTCATATGCCACAAATTATAGTTTGCCACAAAAGCTAATGTTTAGTAGCAAATTTATGTTGCACAAATTATCCTGTCACAAAAACACACATTTAGTGGCAACTTTTAATTGCTACGATTATAAATTGATTCTGACAAACCTAATACTAGTGATAGTTTATAATTGTGACAATTTAATTTTCTTACAAATTTTTTATCATATTACATTTTTCTTAAATGAATAGTTTTATTACATTATGGAAAGATACAAGGGCATGCTGTGTAATGCCCAGAGCTAGAGTACAATAATCTAAAGTCATGAGATCACAAATTGTCTAAACAATCAGTAACTACATTACAAGCTCAAAAAAAGCCTAAAACCACTTTGCTAGGAGCGGTAGTCAGACCAATACTCCTTGAAAATCTATCCATAGAGTGATCCCTCTGTCTTCATTAACTTCATTGGTTCATCATTTCTGGTTTGAGCTTGATCATTCTCAAACTAGAAAACTGATGTCAAAACTATTTTATCATGCAATTGCACCTGATAGCTTCAACCTACATAATAAAAACAACTGGAAGATCAAATCTCATGGGTTACCCTCTGATGGCATGAGAGAGGAGAATGGAAAGTTTAAGCTGCCAGAATCTCATGACTCTAGCGGAGAGTTGGTATCTTATGATTATCTTTTTTCTAAATGGTGACAAACAGACAAATTATGTGCCTGAAGGTACCGTATCCATATCACACCTAAGTGAAAAGGATCGAATATACTTGAAACTAAAGAAATTGGCTGTCAAATGTGCATCTTCAGAGGCCCTGATGATAGGACCTGCAGTAGAAACTCCTGCTTTTATGGCAAGCAACTTATTGAATGAGGATGTGGATCGGAGCATGGAACTTTTTTAGATCACAAGTAGGTTTTTGAAATTTCCATCATCTCCGATGGAGCCAAAATTTCACTATTTTTTGGCTTTGGGTGTGATGGAATAAATCAAAATGGATCTCTAAACTATTTGCGCTTCTTTAATTAATAAAGTAGCAGTTAGTCAAGCAATGCAACTTTCGACGTTGAGCCAGGGGTCTCTTTGGAAACAGCCTCTCTACTTTCGAGTAGGGGCAAGGTCTGCGTACACACACCCTCCCCAGACCCTACTCTTGTGGGATTTAACTGGGTTGTTGTTGTTGTTGTTGAAGTAGGTTTTTGAAGATTTGAATGAGAAGAATGATGAAAGCTCGTTTGATTCCACTACTCCTTCAGTCATAGCTCAGGTTTATCTTTCAGTCCAGATTATCCATGCTTGGAATGACATCTGTTACATGTAGTTTGAATAAGCTTTACATATGTTGATTTTAGTTAATTCAAGGAATGAAAGGACTCAATACTTTAAAGGAAGAACAAAAGCAGAAGGTGGATTTTTTAGAGTAGAAGCTAGTACTATCACTCTTCATTGTATTGATCTCAAATTTATTTTCCATTAGTTTTGTGACCAACAGACTTAGTTTAATATGAAATTTAGATTTTTCTTTTTCTAGCAACCAATACCAAATACAACGTCTTCAATGTAATCACATTTAGCTTTAGAAATGAGCCATTGAACCAACCTGAAAATTCACATGATACCATCGTTTAAAAAGCATAAACTGCCAACAGACTAAGTAACTCAACTAAATAAAGGTACTAAAACCCACCACAAACACCATATTGCTATTGCTATAGATTCCCTTAATATTCTTGCATCTGAATGAAAGACCTGAAGTGGCATAAGTTATGTTAGGAACTACCAAAGCCACAAACAACTTCACTCTTGTGTTAGCTTTTGTTTGAAACTTTCTCTAGACGTTGGCTTGTGATTGAAGATATTGTACTATTAATTGTCTCGTCACAAAGCTTCGTTCGCTGGTCTTCAAATGAAATATTTATTCTACTTCAGGATATATATATATCTCCATCCATATCCATCTTGAAGTTAGATTCCAGAGTCGAGAAAAGGGAGATCCCAATCGTAACTTGTGCTTGGAGGCTTCAGGCTCGACGTTATTTGAATTTTTGAGTTGCACTGATACTCCTCTTGATTCTGATAGCATCCCTAAAAATTAAAACAAAAAATCTCCTATAAATCTCATGTTTTTTTATTTCCACAAAAAATGATGCGTAATTGGTATAACTTTTCTATAAGTAAAATAATTTCATTTTCCACCAAAGTGATGCCTGATTGGCAGAACTTTTCAATGAGTAAAATAAATGTGCTTTCTCAATTAAGCGTCAATAGATTCTTCTTATTTTGAAATAAGCACAAAATTCACTATTAAATGCATTTCTCTTTTCTTTTGCTTGCCAAACATTTCTTTTTGAGTGAACTTATTCTTATCTTGTAATAAGTAATCCCAAAAGCATACATGTAATAGTGAAAGTATGAGAACCTCGTACCTCATACAAGCTAGTAATTTGGAGATTCATCTTCCCCATAGTGATTTTCAGAAAATCATTATCAGTAAAAGAAAAGGTTGTTGGGTTGCTTGAGGCTTTCTATCTTCGTAATTCCCTAAATTCATCCAAAGAGACTAATTTCCAGCTCAAAGTTTTCAATAATTAATGAAATCTGGCATTAAAATTGGAAACCCTAACCTTTTTATGCTCCCCTTTCTTAATCTCAACAACATATATCCTTTCATTAAATCTAAATATCTGTGAAAAATAAAAAATCACAATTCAAAATTTTTACTTAGAGACTAATAAAAACAAGGCTAATATTTTGGATAAGTTCCTCACCCGCGCCAGAGAAAAGAAAAAGCTTCATCGAAAAATCGCAGCCAAATCGATTGAAATAATGCACGTTTTCTCAAATAAAAGAAAAATGATCACCTATATATATACACATCCCATATTTGCTGGTCAGTGTGCTGATAGAGTGCATCACGAACATAAACAGCATCATTCTCAGTCAAGACATCAAATGTATTAACAGATGGCAATGCATGAGAAAGACATGGATGATCAAGCGTGGTATCCCCCAACTCCTCTTCGTTTAACCAATCCATTTGAGGTGCTTGCAGTACAACTGACCACCTTGAATCTGCTGGATCTTCAACATAGAATACTTTTCTCACTAGATCGGCTAAAACAAAAGAATCAGACTTATGCCCAATTTTACTAAGATCAACAAATGTCATGCCAAAATCCTCAACTTTCAGCCCCTTCTTACTATTTTCGACCCAATCACATTTAAACACAACTCTTGTAAAACTATTATAATTAAGCTCCCATATCTCTTGAATCACCCCATAGAAGGTAATCTCATCTGCTATAGGGTTCTTATCTTTGGCACTAGAAACTAGCATTACATTTGCAGTTAACGACACCCCACTATTTTGTTGGATATGCTCATTATCTTTAGACTTCGTATGATAATCACAACCATTCACTATATATCCAGTGTAGTTTTTAACTTCACATCGAGGACCATGCGCTATCCACCTTAGAGTTTCTGATATACCATTATTGGGACTATTGAGCTCAACTTGTACCTGGAAGAGTAAGTTAAGTTAGTGGCATTCTTAAGCAAAAAAAGTACTATATAATTTTTTTAACTTCAGAGAATATATAAGTATAATGTGAGGTATTACCCTTTCTTGTAACCAATTGCTAAATCTTCGATTGTGTTCATCTCGCAACCACTTTTCTCCTCTAGACTTTTGAGGATGCTCCATCTTCAATATCTCCAAATGCTCACTGTCAACATTTAGGTACACAAAAAATAAATAGTAATAAGCCATTCATGATGTAAAAATAGTTTTAAAAGTTTGATAGAAACTAAAGACAGAGACTGTAAAACATACTCAATGTAAGGCTGAACCTCAGGTGTGTTGTCCAATACGGAAAGATGTGCTTGATGCATTAACTTGGGAGCAATGGTAACAACACGTCCACTTCCTAAAGGAACATTAACATATTTAAGATATGACTTACTTCTCTCAGGGATTCCAACAGTGTGTACGTCTGACAAATAATCTGCACAAAAGTCTATTGCTTCTTCAGCAATATATGATTCAGCCATGCAACCTTCTGGACAATTTCGATTTCTGACATAGCCTTTTAAAACACCCATGTGTCGTTCAAATGTGTACATCCAACGCAAGTAGACTGGACCACATAAGCGCACTTCTCTAACGAGGTGGACCGTGAGATGCACCATTATATCAAAAAATGAAGGTGGAAATATCTTCTCAAGCAAACATAAAGTTTCGACAATTCCACTTTGTATTTCATCCAAGGTTAACACATCATTGGTCTTGCTGCATAAAGTATTGAAGAATACACAAAATCTTGTAATTGCATATCTTACATGCTTAGGTAACACACCACGAATTGCCACAGGAATTAGATGTTGCATAAGGACATGACAATCATGAGACTTCAGACCAAAAAGTCTTAAATCTTTCATAGAGACAAGGTTTTTGAAATTCGATGAGAATCCCTTTGGCCCCTTAAATCCATACAATGAAGCACAGACTGATTCTTTCTCCTTCTTTGATAACGTATAAGGAGCAGCAGGAAGATATATTTTTTTTTCCCCTGCACAGGTGCCAAACCTTTTCGCACACCTTTAAGAAGAAGATCTTTACGAGTAGCAACATTGTCTTTTGTTTTTCCTGGGATGTTCAACAATGTTCCAATGATGCTCTCACATACATTTTTCTCAATGTGCATCACATCTAAACAATGTCTGACATGCATGGACTTCCAATAAGGTAGATCAAAAAATATTGATTTCTTTTTCATGTAAGAGTTTAGCTCACTCTCTTGGATAACCTTTTTCTGCCTTAGAGTATTCCCTGCTATCTTCTTCCTTTTCCCAAGAATTTTCTTCTTTGGTGCTTTGGAATCCAATTTCTTCTTAGTCCTTATTACTTTAATATCTTTAACTCTTTCGAGAATTTCTTCTCCACTTAAAGGAGTTGGAGCTACACCAAACTCTTTTTCACCATTAAATGGACTCATTTGTGATCTAAAATGGTGATTAATTGGCAAAAATTTTCTATGCCCACCATAGCTAACTTTATTCCCATACTTCAACCATTCTGAATTTGTATTGTCACCACAAATTGGACAAGCTTTATATCCTTTTACACTGCAGCCACACAAATTTCCATAAGTTGTCCCCGTATGAGTAAGACATCTATTTTCTAGAGTTAAAGACAACTGTGATATTTTGTTGTCTATCTATAATGAATATAACTGTTGTTTTCGACTTCAGACTCCTATTGCGTGGTGTTGTCATTCAAATATATACACATCTAATTTCAAAAGTAGTGGAAAGACATATCAGACAGCTGCTTAGAAAACTACTAAAGAAAAATAACATCAGACAACTGTTATCTTGTGTTATATTTCTAAAATGTAGACTACTAATTTTGTTGTATTTTAAACAACCGTTTCTTTCACTTGTATAGTGCTCAATAACACTACGCTTTGTTGTAGTTGTCCTTGAAGTATTCAAACTATCTTTTTACACAGTAGTCAGATTGTAAATCAGACTACTGCTCCGAAGACAACTAAGTATGTTTGCACAAGACAACTATTATTCTGTGTTGTATTTGTAAAATGTAAACAACTATATTTGTTGTATTTCACACAACTGTTTATTTCTATTGTCTAACGTTTATTAACAGTACAAGTTGGTGTAGTTGTCCTTTAAAGATTTAGAAAGCTATTTTAATACATTGTAAAGCTATTTGAAAGACTACTATATTTCAATTCACATTTATATTTAATAAATAAAATTTATTTCAATTCCAAAATATTGATCATGAAACAAAAATAAATTCTAAAATGTAGAATATATTGAATAATATCTAAATACATACAATCCAAGTCTAAATAACATCCAATAATTTAATATTTACATAATTAAAATCACACTCTAATTGTCCATTTAGCATGCCTAATTTAGTTATTTGTCCCCTCAATAACATTTTTGAATACATCCCTTGCTCTAGCAACATTTTCTTGTAAAGCATCCACTTTAGTCTTCAATCTGCATACCAATAAATAATTAAAATGAATGTTTGTTGATAACAAGAAAGAGTTCTTAACAAAAATACTTGAAACTTTTTGGAGTTATTTGCTAGCTAAATACCTCCAAAGTAGTTCATATGCAGCTATTTAACAATTGAAGTTCATATTTCAGCCTAGAAATCAAGCAAAGCTGCAGATTTTTCTAAGTAAAAAATAATTCAGTTTAGATTTTATTCAAAATCAACCCTTAAAATTCAAAAATCAATATATAAAAAAATGTCATGCTTCAATTTGATGATGGTTTTCCGAACTATGCTTAGCTAATAGGTGTTCTTAGTCTCGAGTCCCCTTTGTGGACATTTTGTAACATACTATATAATATGTAGGTAATATATATGTCCATAACCATTAACCTTCAAGTTTTCAACTTTTCACTTCTTTTAATCCAAAAGTCCAGTTAACTTATAGTATCTTGATTTAGAAGCATAGTGTATTTCCTAATTAGTCATAATTGAGACTTTAGGTTTAACAAAACCTATTGATTGGTGAAAAGTGAGCAATCTCTGTCCAATTCAGCCTCGGGTTCTGGTAACATTGAAGAACTCATTGATCAAAACCGCACATAACAAAAAAAGAGGAATACCTTCTTTTCTCCAAGGAAGTTTCGGATTCCAATTGACTTAATTGACTTGTTTTCATTGATGATGGAGGCGTTGATGGAAAAGTGAGCGTAGACAATGCACATCTTGTACCGGAATCCATTTCAGTTTGATGTGCATCTTCTCCAACACAGGATTTTTTTTCTCACAAGCTTGTCAGTATGCCATATTTAAATGCTTGAATTTTTTCAGAAAAAAAGTTAAAACATGTCACTTTGAATAATAGTATTACTTGAAACTAAAGTTAACCTTAGCCAAACACAGATTTTACCTCATGGAAATAACAAATAATTCAAACAATTTGCTCCAGAATTGTCATTCCCCATCACTTGGAGGTTGCAGTAGCTAATATTTGAATAGAGCCTACACATAAAGAAAAACACATCCAATGAAAAACTCAAAAACCATACCATACACATTCCCTTTCATCCTTTTCCCATTCCATTGGTTCAATGTTCAATGATCTTTTGTTGTTTATAAGTCTACTTACTCAAGGACGAAACACAAGGGAATCTAGTCGTTTCTTATTTTTATTTTTATTCAAATTAAATACCAATTTATATGAATTAAGTACTGTTGAATTAGTTGAGAAGGTTGTAACTTGCAAGCAGTAGGCATTTAGCTGTCAGTTTCAGAATTCCTTGGGGGTTGTGTTGGAAAATATTTAATGGCTTTGTGCAGCATTGATGCGTTTTTGGGAGTAAACTGAATATATGAAATCTAGCAGGATAGACTCACAAATTTTGATAAAACGTTGAGAATAAAGTAATTTGGGTGGATTTTTTGTTGTTTGAAACATACCACAATATCTTCATATTTGTAGAAGAAATCCAACCAGACGTGCCCATCCCCACTGTCGTAAATTGTGGCTGGAGCAGAGAAGATTCGGGTCGCCGTTGTTTGGGCTTGGGCGAAATTGACGGTGAAACTCGCCGCTGCCCTGTAATCCGTTGGGGGAGGAGAATCACTGCGCAGGGTGTCCTCGTCGCTATTCCCACTGGTCATCGTCGTCGTAGATTGCTCCTTGCCGTCGGGAGGCAGTTGCCGATAGGGGAGAAGGAGGTCGGGGAAGTCTCGCCGGAAGGACCTTCCCTCGTCGGTCTGGTGGTGTTGCTGGCCGGCGCTATTTTAGGCCTTCTTGCCATCGTCGTCACCGCTCGAAGAAGAAGACAGAAGAAGAGAGGCGGCGGCGGGCAGTCTTCGATCTAGAAGAAGACAGAAGAAGAGAGGCGGCCGGGCGCTTGATACAAATTAGCCCATTTGCATGGGCGGGCTTGGCCCGGCCCGGATTTGATGGGCTAAACTCTTTACCCATACCCGCCCACTTTAGCGGGCCGAACTGCCCACCGGGTCGCCCGGCCCGGATAAAACATCAAGTAAATCTTTTTTACACAAAAAAATCAAAAAGAAAATATTGAACTCCTTTTCAAATGTTTAAAATAAAATTACCACTCGCCACATTTACATAGAAAACATAATAAAAATATTGTTACATAATTAATAAACTCATCATACAGATTCATTAAAACACTACTGATTTTTGTTTAAGAGGGGTGAGTGATATGAACTATTATACATGACTTAAAGAAAATTTTAAAATTTATAATGTCTAGATAATTAATAATAAAGTAAATATATTTAATGAATATGGGCGGGCCTATTGGCCCGGATGGGCTAAAAGTAACTTCCAGATCCGCCCAAATACAATTCGGGCTTGGGCCGGCCCGCCCATGTGGGTATTAAAAATTGTCCATATCCGCCCATTTTAAAGGGCGGGCTGGGCGGGCCGGACGGGCCGACCCTTGTTTGCACAGGTCTACACGCGAATTTCCCTTTTGTATCTAGGGTTTTCTAGGAGAAGGCTAACATGCTCCGAATTAAGATCTGTTTGCATCGTTGGATTCGATTAGTCGATCCTCACCCAATGATATAACTTTTATAATAAATCAACAGGAATTTACGAGTTCCACCTAGTCCGTCTTGATTCTGTCGATTAATTAACACTGATTAGTCTTTTAATTTAAATATTTACAAATATAATCTGATTAGTCTCGTTTTATTGAGACGATTAGAATCTATAAAGTATCTTTTAATCCTTTAAACGAATAGATTGCCGTAAATACATAATTCTTATTTATTTAATTATTGATTAACTTCTATGCTGGTTTCTAGGGCGATACATCGTAGGAGTTGATTAACTCTCATACGAGTGTGGTGATGGTAGGCTAATGCTTGTGAGTACTAAGACTATGTTGAGGCCTCTGGTTTTCTAGTGTCTATCCTCCCGGACTTTGGTTATGCAGTTGGTATCCAACTTCACAAGGTTTCTAGGGTGTTTCTGCAAAAAGGAGGCTAATCTAGATCATTTTACTAGTTCTCAGACATGGAATATAGTCTGGAAATTGAGTCATCAATTGGACCATTGTGATTTTCACATATTTGGGCATCGTCTTTTCTTTTTTACCTATCAACCAGATAAAAGCTGATGAAGGGTGCCATACTGCCACTTTCATTTTGACTTTTTTGTTCATTTCAGAATTTTCTTAGCTAGCATGTGTTTTTTTGTTTGGAATATTTTCTTTATTTCTAGGGTATATATTGAGCTGAGACTCTACTGGACCACAATTGTATTGAGGGTCTTCCCCTCATTTCTTTTATTCAATATGTGTTTTTTGTTATTAATAAGTGTTATATATATATATATATATATATATATATATATATATATATATATATATATATATATATATATATATATATATTGTAAACGAAACCGATGGGTAATATCTATGTATACATAACTAATATTATCCATTAAGCAAAGTTTACACATCGGATAAATTTCCGCTGGGTAAACATGGGAGCTTTCCCATCGGTTGCATAGGTAGCGCTACTTTTGCGATGGGAAAAGCCTTATTTTTCCGATGTGTAAAGTCCCTTTTATTTGTAGTAGTGTTACTATTTCTCATAATTTAAAAAACAGTTCTACGCTTACTATCTTCACTACTCTTTAAAAGAGTTTTCTTAACTTATTCTAGACAACTGTGAAAAAAATCCCGTGTGACACAGACTACTAGTAATACATTACCGTTTCTCATAACTTTAAAAATAGTTTTAGACTTTATAGCCTGACTATTGTTTAAAGTTAGTATTCTTAATTTATTATAAACAACTGTGACAATAAAAATCGTATTTTGATATGACACAGACAACTACTAATAGATTACTGTTTTTATGAACTTTAAAAACAGATGTTGGCTAAGTATCTAGACTATTGTTAGGAAAGAGTATTGTATTCTCATTATAAACAACAGTGCCAAAAATACTATATGACATAGACAACTAGCAATAGATTATTGTTTCTCATAACTTTAAAAACAGTTCTAGACTAAATAACTAGACTACTGTTTAAAAAGAGTATTCTTAACTTATTATTGACAACTATGATTACAAAAACTGTATTTTGATATGACACAGACTACTAATAATAGAATACCGTTTCTCGAAACTTTAAAAGTAGTTTTAAGCATAATAGCTAGACTACTACTTTTGTAGCCAACAACATTAAACAGTAGTCTTATTTTTTTTAACTACTGTTTTTCCATAAACAGTAGTTAATCAACAGTGGTCTGACACTGTTTTTGGCGTAGTGATTAATAAGGTAAGCATCATGAATTTTCTTTTCATGCACAAGGAAGGTGGTAGATTGTATGTGACCATGATGACTGGCCAACAACTGTACCTGCTGCTAAGAGAACCATAAGGATTGATCCCATCCGCTGCTATGGCAACTCGGAGATTTCTAGGCTCATCCCCAAAATCTGGCCACATATGATCTATAAGTTTCCATGATGGGGAGTCTGCTGGATGCCTTAGTTTACCATCTTTTACTCTTTTTGTGGCATGCCATATTAAGTTTTTCGCAGTTTCTCTATTACGAAACATTCTTCTAAACCTAGGGATTGGGGGGAAGTACCACAAAACCTTTGCTGGAATTGTTTTCTTCTTATTCTCACTCGAACTCTTACTAACTTTCCATCTTGACACACCACAATGCGGACATACAACTGAATTAGAATATTGTTTCCTATATAAGATGCAATCATTAGGGCATGCATGTATTTTTTCATACTCCATCCCTAATGCACCAAGTGTCTTCTTTGCTTCATACAAGGTTGATGGGATTTCATTTTTCTCTGGAAGTAATTCTTGTAAGAATTCTAGTAACCATGAAAAGCTTGCATCAGACCACCCTCCTTTTGCTTTAAAGTTATACAACCTTACAAGGGTCGATAACTTCGTAAACTTCAGATTCCCAGGATATATGGGTTTTTCAGCATCTTCCAACAATTTCACAAATGCGTCTGGATCAGTAGTAAAAGCATCATGTGCAGCTTCAACCATCTCTACAGTGTTTTCCATATTGCTGTCTTTATTAAAGTTTTCATCAACTACAGAGCTTGCCTCCAATCCCTCCACTTCTGGACTAGGGATAGGTTCTCCATGTCAATACCATAACACATAACTTTGATCAATGCCATAACCAAACAAGTGGTTCTTAACCTCCTTAATTGTTTATGGTTTAACATGCCCACATTTTAAACAGGGACACCGAATTGAGTTAGGATCTAAGGCATGGTGTGATGCAAAATCACAAAAACGGTCAACCCCATTCTCATATTCTGCTGATCTTCTATCTTTAGACATCCAACTTTTATCCATAGACATCCATCTTTTATCCATTATATCTAATAGAAAAAAATAATCATAAACAAGTGATTGCATACTTGACTCTGTATTTGTTTGCCAAAATAGCTAAAGTAGTTATTTCAACAACAGTAAGAACTAGAATAATCTTGTTTAGACCAAGTATTAAACATCGAAATCAGTTCTCAAACACTAAAAAAATTGAATGATCCGTAGATAAGAGCATAGAAAAAATTCAGAGCATTGAAATTCCAAAAATTGCACGAGTTCTCTTCAAAATTCTAGAAAACAATTTAATAAAAACAACTACGATTAGAACATAAGAGTAGAGCAAAACCTTAGAGAAGATATCAAAGAAAGGTTAGTAGTGCAATTTCGATGATATCACCCAGGAGAATTGCAGCGCTTGCGTTCTCCGTTTGAAAAAAAAATTGCAGCACTTGCGTTCTCAATTCAAATTTCTAGAAAACAATCTAATAAAAGCAACTTGGATTAAAAAAGAAACTTAAGAGTAGAGCAAAACCTTTGAGAAGAGATCAAAGAACGGTGAGAAGTGCAATTTCGATGCAATTGCACTGGTGAATCGCAGCACTTGCGTCTCTCGATTTTTTTTAGGGTCTGAAACGAAGCCCTAAAGATTGTGAATAGGGAAGCCAGAATCGAAGAGAAGCCCTGAAAATCGATTGAAATTGAAAACGGGAAAGAGAACAATGGGACTTTTGCAGTGGCGGGCTGAGAATTTTGGTGCGAAGAAGAGAGGGAAAATCTGAGCGGCTGAAAAATTAGAAACTAATCGCAGAAGATTACGGAGTTGATCCTTCTTTTTTATTAAAAAAATTTAATTGTAGTAGGTTAATTATTACCCACTAAGAAGAAACTACTCCGATCCGTACAAGTCTACAACTAACTAAGGTGGTTTTAAAAATTATATAGAGTAAAAGTTGTTTAAAAAAAATTTAAAGTAAAATATCCTCCGTATAGGTGCAGTGGACAACAGGCTTGTTATTTTTAGTTTTCAAAATGAAAACTTAATTGATGTCCTTAAAAATATTTTTAGTAAAATGTGTCATAAAAAACTTTTAAGGACATTTCATAAATAATGTGTCCTTAAATTGTGTCCTTGTATCCTAGTTTTCTTGTAGTGTAATGTCTTCAGCCTTTCTGCAAACACAAACTTGAGCAACATAAATTTCCATATAATAGATGCATATGATCACAAACTTGCTTATTGTAAAACAACTTACTCATGTATTGTGTTTCACCGGATTTAATGTGAACACTCCAACAATTACAAAACCCTCAAGTGCCTTTTTTTGGGTAATATAATCTTCAACACTCTTACCCCAAAGTGTAAGTCTAGTTTTTGCACCGCTAAACATTATTTAAAAAACATAAAGCAATTATTTAGTCACGACGAAGATTCAAGCAGTACTTTAATTACGTAAACATACCTCAAATCTTGTAATTCAAGCATAAGGCATCTTACTATCCTATTGTTAATGTTCTTATCTCTGGCTTCCCCCTCACTGCATACTTGCCCCATAACATCTACCAAAAGAAATGCACATTTTTTACAAAATATAAACTGCCAAATCCAAATCATTCTTATTGTGCTAATAACACAAATAAAATGCACGTATACTATAGCTTGATCCTGTAAGAATATAGGTTTGGTCAATCCTCGTAGGTACTTTATCAAAATCAAGGAAATCAAACCAGTACATTGGAATTTCAGGTCCTCCACCAGGTGCCGGTCTTACACTTGAGTTTGCATTAAACTGAATCATGATTTTATTGTCTCCGACAACACAAAATTTGTTTCTGTTATCAACGACGTCAAAATTTTTAATATAATATATCCCTCCTTCAACAATTTCGTGAAACAAATGGGCAAAGTTTCCTTTGATGCTAGGATGGACATAAGAACCCTATTCATAAAATACAATTGTGGTGGAAATTAAGAAAAAAAATTGAATAGGAACACAAGACATTATTAAACAAAGCGACAGTTGTCTATTACCTCCTCATCAATCATAACCATGTCCATACTTATAAGTTTTCATTGTTCTTGAGACTGTACGCTTCCCAAAGTCAGGATACTCGTACCAGAATTCCACAATTCTTGACATCGTAAGAAAGCTTCTGGGTTAGAGCGTAACTCTCTTTCTTACTGGTGCGAGCTAATTTTGTTGTAGCCATTGTCATAGCACACGGATATGTATAAGCCAGAAACCTTTCCCATTACCTTCTTCAATGGACCTCTTTCAGTTAAAAACTCTTATCAAAAGTATAATAAATGTATTTTCCTCGCCTGGTATGACAACCCAAAAGACTTGGTGAATCAACCGTCTGCTCTTCCATCGATTTTATGCTCTCTGATGTCCTCAAGAATTTTAGTTTGCAGCACAATAATGAATACCGTAAATGACCGACTATTAAATTAAAACACCAGCATATGAATCGGGGATATAATGAATTCGACGTGAGTTTAGATTTCCGTTAAGGAATCGTTCAATCATGTAACGCCCCTAAACATACCCTAGAATTATTAATAAATAATTATTCGATTAATCAAATTTGTTTTGATTAAAATAAATTATTTTTTGGCTTTGGGCCGATACGAAATATGTTTTGATATCCACTATCACAATCTGGATAAATTTCATAGAGATAAATCCAATATGTTGACTTATTATGTGACCTTGATTGGGAACCTGAGTACAGACCAAAATCCAGAATAAATGAAGAAATTAATTGTGATGTGGACTTTGAAATGATTTATTGAAATAAATCATTAGAACAAATGATATGAATCAAATGTGAGAACCTTTTTGAATAAAGATCAACTAAATGAAGTTTGACTCTGTCAAAGTCAAACACCCAAAAATATGATATCAGAAAAAGTATTACAAATAAATATAAAAGTTATATGGTTGGATAGAATTTAACTGTACGATCGCAATGGTACAAACGGAATTCAATTCGGAGAAAGTTGGACCAAAAAGAGTACCCCGACTGGGACCGAAATTAGTCCCAATCAGGGAAGAATCGTGTAAATCTCCGATCGGCGCAGCCCCCTCCACTAGGCGACTTTCATATGTAGAATTGAGTCAGCCCAGTGTCTTCTCCCCCTTCTCTAATCCTATATAATGATACCCAATCCTTACCAATTCTTCACCAATTTTTTGGAAATATATACCATTGTGTTCATAAGAGTAAGAAGAGTAGTCTGGTGTTGTTGGTTGTGCCGAAGTCACCGGAGTTGGGAGTAATCGTCGCCGGAAGTTTTGCCAGAAAATTCTCAAAACCTTCGAGGTAAGCCCGTAGATATATCTAGTGACTAGAATGTTCGTATAGATCGTTTCTACGTTCATAAATGGTTGAGTTTTGTGTTTGACATGCTTGAAAAACCAAGAATCATAAAACATGAAATTGATGTTAAAACTATAAATTAAAGATTCCAAAATGATCTATGAACCTTGGAGAACATCTCTATATAGTTTCATTGAAGTTCGGTGACTAAAAACGGTTTTTCCGAATAATGGACCGAAGGTTGAAGATGAATGAACAGTAGCTGAAACCCACTGCATGGATCGATCCTAAGGCTTGGATCTATCCTCTGGGAGGAGTTTTTCATTCCATGGATCCATCCAGAGAGCAGGATCGATCCCCCGAAGTTCTGATCCGAAAATTTGTCCGAAAATGCTATTTTTGAGCTCTAAAATCCTTTTTTTGATACCAATTGATTATAATCATTATAAAAATGATTTTTCATAATAAAAATGATGTTTTTAACAAATAAAGATTTTATGTGATGCATGACGGTAAGCTCAGGTATTAAAACTCAAAGCTAGGCCGCTAATTGTTATCGATTGTTATGTTGATTGATGATTATGATGAATGATTATTATGGATTATTATGAATGAGGAACTTAGTGATTAAAATGATTATGGATGATTGAACCATGAGTAAAATGAATATATTGATAATTATGGAACGATTTGTATTATTAAAGGTATCTAAAATAACACTAAGATATACCCTATTTAGATAATTGATGTTAGGGCTATCTAGAAGACCTCTAGAATATATCTCCTATTATTATGAATTTGTGAAACATGAATATTCGGTGATTGGATAAAATGTAATAACGGAATTTGTAACACCCCGGCCCCCACCCTGGCCGTAAGTGTCCGCTCATAGGATTGTAGACTGGCCCCACAAACCAACACACGTCTTTCCCGCACACTTTGTCCTCACTCGTGCGCGCCCAAGGAAAACTTCCCAGGGGGTCACCCATCCAAGAATTGCTCCAGGTCAAGCACGCTTAACCTTGGAGTTTCTAGGTAGTGAGCTCTCGAAAAGAAGATGCACCTTGTTGGTATGAGTAATACTATCAATCCTTTTGAGCTCTTCCCATTCCCATCTTGATACGGGGTATTACAGAATTCATAGACCAAACTAGAGGATCACTTGTTTGGGAATGCCCCGTTCTGATGTTGGTCAATCGCTATATTGTTGTCGCCTTAACTGACTAAAGTTAAGAGTCCGAAATAAATTTCCTTAAACTAATGATAGTTTAAGTGTCTGATTATTAATAGCCTTTTTAAGAGTCTAGTTAATGGCCTTAAACTAACCACAGTTTAGGAGTCTGGTTAGTTATGGAAATTATGATCTGGTCTTAGACTAAGAATAGGTAAGAGCATTGTTATGAACTGGCCTTAGACTAAGAATAGCTAAAGAGAATTGTTATTATTTGGCCTTAGATTAAGAATAATTTAAGAGCACTGTCGAAATAATATCTGAATTGAATAAAATGAGTTGATATGAGCTGAACAATATCAAAACTATGAATGTCTGAAATGAACACTGTATGCATGATATCAAATTATTTGATTATGAATTTAGATTCAGTTTATATGGATGTTCGACGCATTAGATATGCTTACTCAGCTTTACCGCTGAGCGTGTAATGTCTTTTATTCGCTACACCCAAGTAAACAGAAAGAACAATGTGATCTTGGCAGCAGATTGGGCGAGATTGTTGAGATGGATGTTACAAGTTTGAAATGACTTATGATATGTCAATTTTAAATTTGCTTCCGCAATATTGTTGAATACTCTGTACTGTATATGTTATGAAAAATATTATTGTGATAAATAAAGTATGTTTGAAAAGTTTTAAATTTTTACGATTTCCAAGTTAAATATGTTAGTCCGAAAGGGGCTGCAGACCTGGACGGATTAGGGTGTTACAATTTGGTATCGGAGCAAAGTGAGGCCGAAGACAGATATCTTTCTAATCTGTGTGGTATGGGACATACAGCTTGGTAAGATGCATGTAGCCGATAGAGGTAGATATCTTTCTAATCTGTGTGGTATGGGACACACAGCTTAGGGAGATACATACAGCCAACTCATGATCTTTGGGAACCCTCGCGCGTGAACGATAGCGAAGCGTGACTCCCCGCCCAAGGGCTCAAGCAATTGAGTGCTTTGATAGGACCAAATTATAGCCACATAGATGTGTTGCAATTTGGTATCGGAGCAAATGGTTTTAAAACCGATCTTCAGATCAAAATTTGTTTTATAAAAAATGTTGGTCACATCCACGACTCTCGCATCCCTCCAGGAAAGGTATTCGAATTTACTTAGTAAATATTGACTATATTGAATTCTCATTAGATAACATTTGTTAGTTTTGAAATCGCATCGAGCATAGACTCAAGTTGAATTTTCGTACTCAGTGAAGAGACGAAAAAATAAAAAAATATACGACCTCTAATACGTTATCAATGTATGCATCGCATCGCGAATAACGAAACCGATCTGCATCGAAAGGACGTACGAAAGTGAGACAACTCTAAAGAAACGATTAATGTTGATTTTACGAACAACACCTGTGAATCCAGTGCTGAAGATCCTCATTTGGACTCAACATAACCTGATCGCCGATTCAATTACAAGCGTTTAGAATCAGTCAAACTCTGTTATCTAGAGTATCCCATTCTGATGTCTGATTCATTACAACACAATATGCGATTATACTGTGTGAATGGAAATCATTCGTTAATTGATAATTCCTTACAAAACCTCGTTGAAAAACCCTAAAAGGAAATTGACATTATCCTTAATTTGAATTGATTGAACGTCGTTGTTATTGATAACTTGTGATGAAGAATTCCTAAACTGAAGGTCAATGATTTTAACCTCATATTGGTGAAAGCAAAGCTGATTATTAAACCGACTGGGTTAATCTCGATTGAGTATGCAAATGAAGATGTATCGATGGGACTCTGTACCAACTACTAAAATATCGTTATCCTTTACCTCGCATCAATGACTTATTTGACCAGCTTAAAGGATCCATTGTATTCTCTAAGATTGACTTACGGTCAGGATACTATCAGATCCCTATTAAGAAACTCGAACGAACTGACAATCAAGAATCGTTATTCTTTACTACAAATTGGCGACTTGTTCTGTCAAAGAACCTACTTGTTAGAAACGATGACAACTCAATCTTGTTGAAAAAAGTCACGCCTTGCTATGAAATGCCTAGGGACTTAATTGCTTTCCATCGAAAATATCAATGTAGTCTGATTGAATAAACGAAATAAAGTGATATCTGTTATGAACTCGCCTATTTAATCATAATGAAGGAATTTCTGTTATTAGAGTATGAGTCAAGAAACTGCTCACGGTCAAAGTAACCAAGTGCCAAACAACGAACACGAGAATGTTCATACCGAAGCATCCAGTTTCACACCTCCTATTCAAAATGAACTAGTGAACCCAAAAAATATTCCCCAACAAAATAATCAAAATATTGGAGGTGAACCTGATGCTATGCTACCTACCTTAAGGGTAAACTTCTTGCAACAAATGACTCATGCCCCTATGTTTCAACCACCACCTCCACCATCACCTCGTTTGATCACTTTCAAAACTTTGAAAGACAATGGTGCTGAGAAGTTCCTAGGAGATCGAATTGACGAACCCCAGATTGCTCTTGATTAGATCGAGCAGACCGCTCATGTATTACAAAATTTGAACATAGCTCTTGTTGATCATCCAAAATTTGCATCTCAATTACTCCGCAAGGAAGCTTATGAATGGTGGAAACGCACTGACTAAAATCCAAACACACCCAAACCTTGGACTTGGGAATTCTTCGATTGGGCATTCAAGAAGGAATATATCCCAGCCCGATTCCGTGAAGAGCAGTGTGCTGAATTCAATTGAAGCAAGGAAATATGACACTCCCTGAATACCGACAAAAATTTGTCCACCTCGCTCAATTTGCACCCACACTGGTGAGCACAACGGCTGACCGCATTGAGGAGTTTCGCAAAATACTTCAACCTGATCTCAGGCTGCACGTATCTACTATTCGAACTGTGGATTTCATTGAGCCATACGACTTAATCTCCAAAGCCGACAAAGATCTAAGTGATTATTATGAAAGTCTGAAGACTGAGGTTGCCAACTCAAATGTACGACCAAATACAAGTGAGAAGAGACCCCTGCAAGAAATTGATAGTGCCCTACACTCGAAAAAGGGAAAATCAATTGCAAATAAATTGACGTCATCAATGAACAAAATGAGAGTATGGAAACATCCAAAGTGTAATGTTTGTAAAAGGCACCATCCAGGAGATTGCTGGCTTGCACAAGGATTGTGTCTAGGTTGTGGTAAACCTGGACATTTCCGAAGAGAATGTCCCTCTAACCCTGAATCGTATTCAATTACTTCTATCCAAAATCAATCTGTTCATTCAGGAACAAGTCACCGTTCTAAAACCCAAAACAATTCAAAGAATCCAACCCAAGGATGATACTCTATGAAGATCCTAGAATGCTTAAAGGGCTTGAGGATTTGTTGAATAATGAAGAACTTACTGTAAACAATAAATTATCTTTCGATTTGTATCCCAAGAATATTCGTAATTGCTTGAATCTATGTGTGTTGAACACTTTATGAAATTTGACCCGTCTTGAAGAAAATGTTTGATATTTACATGATGCATTCTGATGTTGAAAATAAATATTTCTCTGACTTGCACTTGTCATGTAGCTTAGAATAATATTTATGGTTGACTCATAATGTTCATAAGACAATATTATTTCAACACAAATTCAACGGAAATTACATAAAGTAATATTACAAATGCAACTCTAAATCTAATCCCCCGAGATTTGTGAACTTGTCGTAATTAGCCCCAGGACCCGGAAAAGCTTTAGCAAACTCTAGTTTGTCTAAAAGCTCATCAACGAAGAAAGAAGAGATGAAAAGTTTCCTCTGATTCAAAGCCATGAAGTTCTGCCTCACCGCATCATCTATAAACTTGATTAGGTTATTGAAATAACTGTCAATGTTCAAAAGACCAATGGGTTTACTGTGCAACCCTTCGGATGCCCATGAGATCAAAGTGCACAAACCTTCCATAGTATTAATTCCTCTGGGAAGTATGCTGAAAGCCTCTACAACATGATTCATCTCGAAATACTTATAGTAATTGCTGGAAACGGTGTACTCTACACCATACGTAGGTCCATAAACCTGTCGTGCCACTATGTCCCTGGTATGAAGCCTCTAACTGTACCACCATTGGTATAGACTGTTGAAGGCCAACGTTGCCTTCAGCAGCTCCTTGAAGGCCAACGTTGCCTCCTCCATAGGTAAGCCTAATTTTCCGCCTTACCAATTCCCGTCCTAAATCTACCGCTGGAGCCATGAACCTTGGATTGCTACCAAGAGCATGACTACCAAGTAAACCAACAAATCTTATGGTGTAAGAAAGAGCTCGAGAAGTTCCTTCCATAATGTGAGAATGTGAGATACTCTTGCCATAATCGTGATATTTATAGACTCTAAACCAGACCTTTGAGAAAAAGGGTAGTTATTCCCAGTCAAAATTTGTACATCAAAGATGGATTCGATTTACCTACTGACAATGATGTACTCGTCAATACTACAGTCTGCTGACAATATGACATATTGAGACTCATGAACAGTTAGATTCGCTGTCCTGAAATACGTTCAAATCAGAGACAAAAAATCAATATGGCTATTGCCCTAAGACAAAGATCCCTTGAGTAACTTGAGAGATTACGTTACGACGCATGGATTAAAATTATCTCTAAATTTCCAACTATGCCTATCGTGACCCTTCTACAAAGGCTATTGAAGAACTTTTCAATTGAGAAAAGAATTTTGTTGACTAATGACAAACAAACGAGACTCGTGACTAAACAAAGTTATGCACAAATATGTCAAGTATACAATACTACACACTATGAAGGAACTTTTGTCATCAATACCAAAAGTCAGTGAAGGCCTTGCTTAATCAAAAATTGTTAATCTCTCAAAGGTTGAACGAGTTTAGTGATATCAACGGTTGAGAATGCGTATCTGTAAGATAACGATGTAACCATGTGAACAAGACGCAACCATGATGACAATTATGGACCTTAGAAGAATTTCAAGGACGAAATTCCTTTAAGGAGGGAGAAATGTAACGCCCCAAAACAATACCTAGAATTATTAATAAATAATTATTCGATTAATCAAACTTGTTATGATTAAAATAAATTGTTGTTGGGCTTTGGGCCGATACGAAATATGTTTTGATATCCATTATCACAATCTGGATAAATCTCATAGAGATAAATCCAATATGTTGACTTATTGTGTGGCCTTGATTGGGAACTTGAGTACACACCCAAATCCAGAATAAATGAAGAAATTAATTATGATGTGGACTTTGAAATGATTTATTGAAATAAATCATTAGAACAAATGATATGAATTAAATGTGAGAACCTTTTTGAATAAAGATCACTTAAATGAATTTTGACGCTGTCAAAGTCAAACACCCAAAAATATGATGTCGGAAAAAGTATTACAAATAAATATAAAAGTTATATCGTTGGATAGTGTTTAACTGTCCGATCACAATGGTACAAACGAAATTCAATTCGGAGAAAGTTGGACCAAAAAGAGTACCCCAACTCGGACCGAAATTAGTCCCAATCAGGGAAGAATCGTGTAAATCTCCGATCGGCGCAGTCCTCTCCACTGCGCGACTTTCATACGTAGAATTGAGTCAGCCCAGTGTCTTCTTCCCCTTCTCTTCTCCTATATAACAATTCTTCACCAATTCTCTCGAAATATATACCATTGTGTTCATAAGAGTAAGGAGAGCAGTCTGGTGTTGTTGGTTGCTGCCGAAGTCGCCGGAGTTGGGAGTAATCGTCACCGGAAGTTTCACTAGAAAATTTTCAAAACCTTCGATAAGCTTCGAGGTAAGCCCGTAGATATATCTAGTGACTAGAATGTTCGTATACATCGTTTCTATGTTCATAAACGGTCGTTTGGTTGAGTTTTGTGTTTGACATGCTTGAAAAACCAAGGATCATAAACCATGAAATTGATGTTAAAACTATAAATTAAAGATTCCAAAATGATCCATGAACCTTGGAGAACATCTCTATATAGTTTCATTGAAGTTCGGTGACTAAAAACAGTTTTTCCGAATAATGGACCAAAGGTTGAAGATGAATGAACAGTAGCTGAAACCCACTGCCTTGATCGATCCTAAGGCTTGGATCTATCCTCTGGGAGGAATTTTTCATACCATGGATTGATCCAAAGAGATGGATCAATCCCCCAAAATTCTGATCCGAAAATTTGTCCGAAAATGCTATTTTTGAGCTCTAAAATCCTATTTTTGATACCAATTGATTATGATCATTATAAAAATGATTTTTCATAATAAAAATGATTTTTTAACAAATAAAGATGTTATGTGATGCATGACTGTAATACCCCGTATCAAGATGGGAATGGGAAGAGCTCAAAGTACTACTCATACCAACAAGGTGCATCTTCTTTTCGAGAGCTCATCACCTAGAAACTCCAAAGTTAAGCGTGCTTGACCTGGAGCAATTTTAGGATGGGTGACTCCCTGGGAAATTCCTTGGGCACGCACGTGTGAGGACAAAGTGCGCGGGAAAGACGTGTGTTGGTTTGTGAGGCCAGTCTACAATCCTATGAGCAAACACTTACGTGTGTTGGTAAGCTTGGGTATTAACACTCAAAGCTAGACCGCTAATTCTTATCGATTGTTATGTTGATTGATGATTATGATGAATGATTATTATGGATTATTATGAATGAGGAACTTAGTGATTAAAATGATTATGGATGATTGAACCATGAGTAAAATGAATATATTGATAATTATGGGACGATTTGTATTATTAAAGGTATCTAGAAGAACTCTAAGATATACCCATTTAGATAATTGATGTTAAGGCTATCTAGAAGACCTCTAGAATATATCTCCTATTAGTATGGATTTGTGAAACATGAATATTCGGTGATTGGATAAAATGTAATAACGGAATTCATAGACCAAACTAGAGGATCACTCGTTTGGGAATGCCCCGTTCCGACGTTGGTCAATCTCTATATTGTTGTTGCCTTAACTAAGAGTCTGAAATCAATTGCCTTACACTAATGATAGTTTAAGTTTCTGATTATTAATAGCCTTTTTAAGAGTTTGGTTAATGGCCTTAAACTAACCACAGTTTAGGAGTCTGGTTATGGAAATTATGATCTGGCCTTAGACTAAGAATAGGCAAGAGCATTGTTATGAACTGGCCTTAGACTAAGAATAGCTAAAGAGAATTGTTATTATTTGGCCTTAGATTAAGAATAATTTAAGAGCACTATCGAAATAAGATCTGAATTGAATAAAATGAGTTGATATGAGATGAACAATATCAAAACTATGAATGTCTGAAATGAACACTGTATGCATGATATCAAATAATTTGATTACAAATTTAGATTCAGTTTATATGGATGTTCAACGCATTACATATGCTTACTCAGCTTTACCGCTGAGCGTGTAATGTCTTTTATTTGCTACACGCAGGTAAACATAAAGAACAATGTGATCTTGGCAGCAGATGGGGCGAGATTGTCAAGATGGATGTGGTAAGTTTGAAATTACTTATGATATATCAATACTAAATTCGCTTCCGCAATATTATTGAATACTCCGTACTGTATATGTTATGAAAAATATTATTGTGATAAATAAAGTGTGTTTGAAAAGTTTTAAATTTTTACGATTTCCAAGTTAAATACGTTAGTCCCAAAGGGGCTGCAGACCTGGACGAATTAGGGTGTTATAAATCATCACTCACAATTTTTCGGTTTGCCGTAGGTCTGCCTGCACCTCTTCTGGGAAATCACCGAGTAAAGTGCCGTGCTATTGGAACATTGAGCGATATTAGTTTTAACAGTTCGGGTTTTAATTTAAAGTGTGGGCTTGGAAGTTGGGCTTTATTATTGGGCTATATCCATAAAAAAAGGGGCTATATTCATCAAAAAAACTGACTAAGCTGCCACATGGGCAGCCACATAGGATGACACATGTTGTATCATCAATTAAACCACTCTGTTTTATATATATATATATATATATATATATATATATATATATATATATATATATATATATATATATATAATATAAAAAAACTCTCTCACTACATCAGAATTCTCTCTACACATGACCAGAATACACGCCGGAGAGGGGCAACAGCCCCCTCCGGCCAAAAGCTTTAATATCCCTCGCCAGCAACAGGCTGGCACTCCTCAAGCCAAAAGCTTCCTGGCGGCAGTGACAGGCTGCAACATCCCCAGCCAACAGATAGAGCAGGGAAGGCCAGTTATCAAGCATACAGGTCTCCCATGCGTTAGCTTCACGAAGGAAGAGGTGGAAATCCTTGCTGAAAGATTTAACAGAGCTCTGGTTGGTTCCTTCTTCCATGGCAGACCTTAACTCCCTTTTATCCGTTCTCACCTGGAAAAGATAGGCTTCACAGACTTTTCAGTCACACTGCTAGATGAAACCCATGTGCTGCTTCATTTCACCAAGGACGAGGACTTCTTAAGGTGCTTCAAAAGATATGAATGGAAACTTGGAAGCTTTGAAATGAAGGTGTCAAAATGGACACCAAATTTTGATCCCAGGTACGAATCTCCTTTCCTTCCAATTTGGGTGGCTATAAAAAACCTACCTATTCACCTACATGATAGAAAATCCTTGCTAGACATAGCCCAGGTGTTTGGAAAGCCCATAAAATTGGATGCCACCACTGAAAATTTTGGACGCCCATCTCTTGCTAGAGTGTGTGTTGAGGTTGATATCTCACAACCACAAATAACCAAGTTCTGTGTCCAAAATGGAGAAATCCCATTAATTCTCTCTGCATACTATGAAAATGTTCCACATTTCTACCATGAATGCAGAGGTGTTGGAAGACACAATCATGGTTGCAAATTTTGCACCCCCCAGCACACAAAAACCCAGCTCCTAAACCTGCCCGGAATACCTTGCCGAAATCAAAACCAGCTGAAAGATTCCACTACAAGGCCATCAACAAAGGGCTAACTGAGAACTTCCACAAGGGCCCCATCCAGAACCCCACTCCAAAAAACACCACACACTATATCCAACTCACTACAGATCAAGGCTCTACCTCCCAAATCATCAGCCTGACCCCTCTGATCCCCGCCCAAGAAGCCACTCCCATTCAAGCTACAAACCAAAACACTACAAAACAAACACCTGACCCCCCACCCCCAACACAAACTCAAACCCCACAGTCAGTAAATTCCCCTACCATTTTACCCACACCTGTTGAACCAGATGAAGATGCTGACCTGCTTTTTCATGATTTCATCTTTAAAGAATGCATCTCAATCTGGGACAAACACCAACCTAAAATCATAGCAATACCACAACCAGTCACAATCCTTCTGGATACCAACCAATCTCAGGATGATCTGGATATACCACTCTTTGCCCAAAACAATGTCCATTTCCTTTTTGATGAAGAGCAGACTTCTGAGAATAAAAACACCACCCACAGATTGCAGCTCCCTAAACCCCCAATTAACCAACCCCTTTTTGAAGATCACACCTCCAGCAAAGCACCTCCCTCCTCCATCAGAAAATAAAAAAGGCTACAGGACAAATCCTCCTCAAACAGTTCACCCCCCACCCCATCACAATGAATTGCATCTTCTAGAATGCCTGTGGTGTAGCCCCAAAATCCCAAAGGCTAGCACTACTAATCAAACAACACAAAATACATATAATTACAATCCTTGAACCCAAAGCCAAGTCAACCAAACTCCAGCATTACCAACTACTTTTTGGCTTCACTCACTCAATCTCCTCTCCTGATAACAGAATGTGGATCATGTGGTCTGATAGCCATTTGCATCACATCTCTCATATTCACCTGGACCAAATCACCAACATTAATTTCATTATAAAACAAAACAACACACCCATCCTCCACTCATCAGTTTATGGCAAATACTCCAAGATAGACAGACTTCCCCTATGGAACAACATCCATACCACAGCCATCAACACAGATGTTCCATGGATTCTAGGGGGAGATTTTAACTGTATTACCTCTGTAGACCATCACAAAGGCAAAAGTTCCCCTTGTCTGACTAGCATTGGAGATTTTAATAACTGTATCCTGAACTCCTCCCTCCTAAGTCTTGAATACTCTAGTACCCCATTCACTTGGACTGGCATCAGATCATTGGGAAGAACCTGGAGGAGAATTGACAGAATATTTCACAACCATATTCTAGCCAGAAATTTCAGTAGCATCTCCTCTGAGCACCTGGCCAGATGTGGTTCAGATCACACACCCATACTTGTTTCCCTTTACAACCCAATCTTCAAAAGACATAAACCATTCAGATACCTCAACTGCTGGAGCAACCACCCTTCCTTTGACAAACTCATTGAAGAAAACTGGGGCAGATACACAGGTGGAGGAATGCATGGTCTGTCTCAAAAACTCCAATCCTTACAAAGAACCCTTTGCACCTAGAACAAGCACACCTTTGGCAATATATTCTCCAGAGTCAGATCCCTTGAAAACCAACTCAAAGATGCTGAAACTAGCTTTGATACCCTCCCAACACCTGAAAACAGAGAGACAATGAATGCTGTCAGAGAAAACCTAACCCTAGCAGCACATGATGAATACCTATACTGGAAACAGAAGGCAAACCTAAAATGGGCAAAAGAAGGGGATCTTAACACAACTTTCATCCACTACAAAGTCAAAGAAAAAAGACACCATCAAACCATCAGGAAAATAAAAAACCAGAGTGGGAACTGGTCAAGCAACCAGGTGGAAATTCAGGACATCTTTCACAAGCACTTTCACACCCTATTTCAACATGAACAAACCCCTCTCAATAATTCCTTCACCATCAACATCCCTTCCCTCATAACTCCAGAGGATAACCTCCTTCTTACCCAACTCCCCCTAGAAGATGAAGTGAAAACAGCAGTCTGGGCTCTGAAAGCTGACAGTGCAGCAGGGCCAAAACAAGATGCACTAAAGCAACACAAGAATTCTTCCTTGGAATCAAGATGCCAAAACAGATGGCACTACCCACTATTATTCTCATCCCCAAGAAAGAGAATCCATCCTACTGTGAAGACTACAGACCCATATGTCTTTCCAATTTCGCTGCAAAAATCATTCCCAAAATTCTTGCAACAAGACTGGGTAAACTTCTTCCTAAGGTTATCTCTAAGGAGCAGGGGGGTTTTGTCAAAGGGAGGTCCATAAATGAACAAGTACTTCTAGCCCATGAGATGCTGCATGGTATTAAGCATAACACAAGAGGGGGAAACCTGGTCCTAAAACTAGACATGTTTAAGGCCTTTGACAGGGTTTCTGGGAATACCTATTGTCAATACTAGACAGATTTGGTTTTGACAAAAAATTGAAACTTCTCATTCATAACCTTCTACAAGCCACTCTTATCTCCATCTCCATCAATGGACATAATACTAAACCTTTCAGAACAGGGAGGGGACTTAAACAAGGAGACCCCCTCTCCCCTCTTTTGTTTATCATAGCTGGTGAAGGATTTAGCAGAACTCTCAATGCCTTCATGCAATCTGGAAAACTTGAGCCCTACAAGATGGGAAGAAATCACATGAATATCCATCATCTAGCCTATGCTGATGACCTCATCATCTTCCTAAATGGGGGAAGCAAAATCTGACCAGATTCAGGACTTTTCTTAAACACTATGAGGAAACCTCAAGACAGACAGTCAATCTACAGAAATGCAATTTCTACAGCCCCTGTAAAACCCCCTTACATGTCTCCCTCATGCAACAAAACACACTAGGCATGAAAAAAGGAACCCTTCCTTTCAAATACCTAGGTGTTTAAATACACAGGGGGATCAACAGGAAGCAATACTGCACACCCCTCCTACAGCATTTTGAGAAAAAACTCAGTGGATGGGAGAAAAATTTACTTAACCAAAGTGGTAAAGTGATCCTAATCAAGCATGTACTAAGCTCCATCCCCATCCATACTCTTGGATCCACAGAACTCCCAAAAAGCATCATCCAATTCTTCACATGAAGATGTCTAACTTCCTTTGGGGGGAACTAAAGATAAACACAACTACCATTGGATGGAATGGGAAAAGATCTGCTACCCTAAGGAAGAAAGAGGATTGGGACTCACTTCCCTCATCACACTACAGGAAGCTTATGGTCTTAAGATGTGGTGGACCTACATAAAAAATGACTCACTTTGGGAAGCCTACATGAGAACCAGATATCCAAGAGGAATCAACATTCATCCCCAAGCAATTGACTCACCCACATGGAGAAGACTTTGCTCAATTAATGAAAAAGCACCACTCACATTAGGCATCACTGCTGACAACAGAGTTAAATGGAACACTGGGGAAATGGACTTCAGCATTAAACTTGCAACAAAAAACCTAAGACCCCACAACCCACCCATACTTGCAATGTCCTTCATATGGAACCCCACCCAAATACCCAAAGCCTCCACCTTCCTCTGGGAACTCTACCATAGCCTCCTACCGTACCCCCAAAAACTAACAAAGATGGGATATAACCTCCCATCAATCTGTTTCTTGTGCAGGTATAGTGAAGAATCAACATGGCACTCCTTACACGAATGCCCTTTCAGCAGAGAAATCTGGAATTATTTTGAGGAACTCTTTGGAATTCACAGAAGAGTCAACACTGGCATAATAAGTTTCCTCTTAAATTGGTGGAATCAACTGAAAAAAAACACAAAGGACTACAACCTAAAAGTTGCACTACCAGGATTTATAACGCACGCTATTTGGAAAGAGAGGAACTTTCGCATCTACAATGAGGAAGAACATACAACAGCCCAGATACAACACCAAATCATCAAACAAATTTACGAGTATAGCGCAATTAAAGGGAAAGGAACCAGTATCACTAGCCATCTACCAGTCACAAAGATGGGAGCAATACAGACCTTGAGATGGATTTTCCCAAAGCAAGGACTCTGCGTCACCACTAATGTTGCAATTTCCCATGATCGTATGGCAGCAGCAGCAATCATCCGGCAGAGAAACGGAAATTTCATTGGAGCATGGACAAAAATTTCGCAGGGTGAAACAGACCCAGAAGAAGGTGAGGTAAAGGCAGCAGCGCTAGGAGTCAAACGCAGCAAATTTCTTGGTCAACCTATTAATCTCTACATGGACTCAAAGAATGGGGTGAGAAAAATTAAAGAATCATCCAACTCCTTCCACAAAGAAATCATGGAAACAATACAGAAATCAGGGGGGAAAATAAGTCACATTTATCGGGAAGCAAACACCGCGGCACACAACCTCGCAAAGTTTACACTTAATAACGATTTCAGCACTTATTATTCTCAATTGGAGCATCTACCCAAAAATGTCAGGGGGGCTCTAATCATTGATGTATCTTCGGTTTTTCTTCCGTATTAAATAATGATAAAATTTTCATTTTCAAATATATATATATATATATATATATATATATATATATATATATAAGACTATCTTTGAAATTCTAAAAAAGACAATTCTCAATAATTTTATATTTTGTTATGACTATTAACTAAAGTCAAGATCAAATACTTCATTTGTTAGATTACTTGTAACCAAGTCCAGAGGTGGATCCACCTTCTTCAATATGAGGCAGCTGCCCCAGTAAAAATAATTTTTTTATTTTTTTTATTTTTTTTAGTTTTAAGCATACTACCAAAGTCTACCCCTAGTGGACCAGTCTAGTAAATAAAATACCCAGCTAATTGTCTTACGCCCAATCACAAAAGCAGTCCAAATAGGCAAATATTACTTGCTTCTTAGTTTATAGCAATTTTTGGTTATGGGATTAATAAAAAAGTTTGTTGCATTTTTTAATAGAATATAAAGTGAAGTATTTGTAATACTCTAGTGATATTAAATATACTTCATTATGTGTAATTTATTTAGTACTCCGTATAACACTTTGCTACTTTTGAGATAGGTTGTTTTACTTATTTTAAACTTGTTTGATATAAAATTAAATGAAAATCATCATAATTTAAAAGCATCTTTAAAAAAATTTGGGGGCGCTGCCCCCAAACTTCCACCTTATTATCCCGCCCCCAGTCATTTACAATCCTGGATCCGCCACTGACCAAGTCGTTGTCGAGGCATGGTCAACTCTATATTGTTGTTTCAAGAGTGAAAAAAAACTGTTTCAATTCTCGTACGGATTACAATGGACGGGGAAGATGAACGGCCCCAGAAATAAAAAATAAATAATATTCTGAATTTATAATTTATTCAGAATATTACAAAATAAACAAAGTTAAAAAATAAATTTCTATATCTTCAAACAGCCTTGTTGTACGAGGACATTAAGCACTGGACAGCGAGGACATTGAGCAATGGACAGCGAGGTCTTTAAGCACTGGACAGCAATTCAAGGACGTTATGCACAGGGCTGCGAGGACATTATGCACTAGGACAGAATCCAGCGAGGTCTTTATGAACTATTCCTGCAAAGTAGACACCACGGAAGGACAGCGGAGTCGCCGGAGCTGTCCTTAAGGTAGTAGTGCCCGCCTACCGTACCGGAAAAACGTGGGCACTCTCCTCCCAGGATAAATCTGCTATCGTGTGTGGAGATTGTACGGACCAACCACACACCAACGAACAAGAACAACGTAAGAGCGTTGACGACCAAAAAATTTAAAGGGGATGACCGGAAATTTGGTCAGAAAACCAAGAACTCTCTCAAAAAAAAACAAGAAAGATTTCCTTTTTTTTCTTTCTTTCTCACGTATGGAGCTCAAGAAAAGAGGAGAGAGGCCCTTTGATTTTATAACTAACGAGTTTAAAAATGTGTAACTCCTACACCATTAACCCTTAGTATTAATCATGGCATTTGTGGCATACTAATGGTGTGTTAATGGTGTTTAATTAGCCATTAACACGTCCGTTATGCTACGCTCTGTTTAAAATTTGTCCCGAACAATTGGATATTAATGGCCAGTTAACTCCGTAAAAATGGAGTAATTTTAAACAATACATAAAATTAATAAAAGAAGATTGGTTCAGTAAAATTGAAAAAATTGCAATGCTTACCATATTCTTTTATTAACGGGTTAACTCTGAGAATCAATTTCTCATTCACCCTCTACCATTTTTGGCATATAAATTGTAAAAACATTTATTTCATTTAAGAGAACACACGTCTATTAATTAACGGTTAAAACCGTTAGTGGACCTATTGACAAATATACCCAAATTGGTCCATTTAATGCCTATTAAAAATGCCAAAAATTCCAACAATCCCCCACATGAATGAAAAATTGATTTGGGGGTCGACAACATCCCACGGTTGAAAACCTGCAAAGAACATGTAAGTGTCTCCACTTTTGAACATGTCCCTTGTAAAGTATACCTTCTTTACTAGCTGTTCAGTAGAACGCGATGTCTTTGAACTGTACTGCCGCTTGTGTAAACGATTGTATACCATACACAGATTCCAACCAAACGTCGTTCTGTTCTCATTGTTGTGCCCATTTTGGTCGTGGGACACGTTCCTGGTTCTGCGAGAGTGTTTAGAGGATTAAGCCCAAGATCCTCCATTTAAAGCGACCGCACTTCACTCTTACATAGGTGATTCTTTAAGAGTATCCCGATTACTCCCTTTAGACCACCGTGTCTATTGGTTAAGAATCATTAAAGCATATTTATATGCTAACCTCATCATTTTCAGGAGTCACTGTCTTCGGTAGGAACAGAAGGGACTGACCGAAGGTTCCGGTACCGCCCCCACAGTGACCTCGCTTTATCCTACAAGTAGGTTGTCCCATTGAACCTGGGAACCAGCCAGGTTGGGTTTTCCTTCATAGGACTGTCCTAGCACAAGGGCTTCAGACCCATTCCTGCCACCAACTTCTCATGCAACTCATTTGTTAACCCTTTGGTTAGCGGATCCGCCAGATTATCTTTTGACTTCACATAGTCAATTGTGATAATCCAAGTTGTGAGAAGTTGTCTAATGGTTTTGTGTCTACGACGAATATGTCTAGACTTACCATTATAAATATTACTCTTTGCAGGTCCTATTACTGATTGACAATCACAATAGATGCAAACTGGTGGGACCGGTTTATCCCATCTTGGAATGTCCTCTAGGAAGTGGCGTAGCCATTCAGCTTCCTCTCCACATTTGTCTAGAGCTATAAACTCAGACTCCATGGTGGACATAGAAATCAATGTTTGCTTTGAGGACTTCCAAGATATTGCTGCACCCGCTAGCGTAAAGACATATCCACTTGTGGACTTCAAGTCTTTACTATCAGATATCCAATTCGCATCCGATTATCCTTCCAGTACCAGTGGATATCTCGAGTAGCATAATCCATAGTCACGTGTACACCGCATGTATCTCATCACACGTACAATAGCCTTCCAGTGCTCATCACTCGGATTGCTGGTGTATTTACTCAGCTTACTTATGGCACAGGCTAAATCTTGTCGAGTGCAACTCATTAGATATATCAAACTTCCAATAACTCTCGCATACTCAATTTGAGAGTTACTGGAACCTCGGTTTTTAGCCAGGTGTGCATTGATGTCCAACGGCGTCTTTGCTACTCTAACGTCATCCTTGTTGAACTTGTCAAGGATTTTATAAATATAATGGGATTGGCTCAGTGCTAGACCCCAGGTCTTCTCACAATTTTAATTCCAAGAATTACTTCAGCCAGACCCATATTTTTCATGTCAAATCGCGAGTTTAACATGTCTTTGGTAGACTTGACCATCTTGTCATCGCTACCAACTATGAGTATGTCGTCTACATATAGACACAACATGACATACCCTTGGGATGTGTTTTTTAGATAAACACACTTGTCTGATTCATTAATTTTGAACCCAGAGTTCATCATTACCTGGTCAAACTTCTCATGCCATACTTTGGGCGCCTGTTTAAGACCATATAATGACTTAACGAGTTTACATACTTTCCTTTCTTGACCAGGAACTATAAACCCTTCTGGTTGTTCCATGTAGATCTCTTCTTCTAGATCTCCATTAAGGAAAGCTGTTTTCACATCCATTTGATGTACTTCTAAGTTCCGCAAGGAAGCTATTGCAAGTATCATCCTAATGGAATTTATCCTTGACACAGGGGCATATGTATCAAAATAATAAAAGCCCTCGCGTTGATTGTAACCCTTAATTACAAGTCTGGCTTTGTACTTATCAATGGAACCATCTGGTTTCATTTTCCTCCGAAAGATCCACTTAGAACCTAACGGTTTGCATCCGGGAGGTAGATTCACTAACTCCCAAGTGTGATTCTGCATAATAGAATCAACTTCACTTTTAATTGCCTCTTTCCACTGAGGGCTTTCAGACGAAGTCAATGCTTCACGATAAGTTCGTGGTTCATTTTCTAATAAACATGTTAGAATATTGGGTTCAGTCTCTATCAGAAATGATAGAGTCCCCTATTCAAATTCCAACAAATAAGTTAGAGAATCATTACCAAAGGACTTATTAGTCCGTGTCCTTTTACTTCGTCTTAGTTCAGTCTCAGTTTTGGTTTCATCAATTATACCGGTATTAGACTGATCTGAGGAACCATCGTTCAACATTTCATCATGTGAACGTTTGGACGAGCTTGCTTCTTCCCTCGACTTTAACAGAAATATATTTTCGAAGAATGTTGCATTCCTCGATTCCATTATCGTGTTCTTATGAATTTCTGGATTATCAGACCTATACACTAAGAATCGATATGCGCTACCACTGTAGCCAATAAAGATTCCATCAACGGTCTTTGGACCAATCTTTATTTTCTTTGGTGGTGGTGCTAAAACTTTTGCAAGGCACCCCTACACTTTCAAGTATTTATAGGAAGGTTTCCTATTATACCACAACTCGTAAGGAGTCTTATCGAGTTTCTTTTGGGGTATTTTATTTAACAAATAATTGCTAGATAAAATAGCCTCCCCCACATATTTTGGGGTAGCCCCAAACTGAGTAACATCGCATTCATCATATCTTTGAGAGTGCGATTTTTACGTTCCGCGACACCATTTGATTGAGGTGTGTATGGCGGGGTTACTTGATGCACAATCCCTTGTTGTGCACACAATTCGGCGAATGGAGCTTCGTACTCCCCGCCCCTATCACTCCTAATCGCTTTAATTTTGCGATTGAGTTGATTTTCTACTTCATTCTTATACCGAATGAAAGTGTCCAACGCCTCATCTTTACTTTTTAGTAAATAAATATAGCAATACTTCGTGCTATCGTTGACAAAAGTGATAACATATTTGTTACCACCTCTTGAAGGCGTTGCTTTGAAATCACACAGATCCGTGTGAATTAAATCCAGTGGCTGAGTGGTTCGCTCAATTGTTTGAAACGAACTTCGCGTTGACTTTGCTTCGACACACATCTCACATTTGTGGGACTGGTCGATGTCAAACTTAGGGATATATTCTATGTTAATTAATTTAACATGTTCTAGTCTTCCATGCCACACATTGGAGGACTCACAAACATAGGCAACATGAATTTTATTAATTTTTTCAACAACAGTGAGTACATTTAGCTTAAAAATCCCGTCAGAAATATAACCTTTGCCTATGAATATTCTCTTTTTGCTCAAGATCAGCTTATCAGACTCGAACACCATGCAGAATCCATGTTTGTTCAATAGTGAGCCTGACACCAAGTTCTTTCGTATGTCTGGCACATACAACACATCATTCAGCGTGAGCTCCTTGCCAGTTGTCATCTTGAGCTTAACTTTGCCCACGCCTTTAACCTCGGATTGGGCGGAGTTGCCCATCCACACCTTGTCGCCAGAAGTCTCCTTAAAGTCAAAGTGCATGGCCCGATTGGAGCATATATGACGAGTGGCTCCGGTGTCAACCCACCACTCTTTCGGGTTAGACCCGACCAGGTTGACCTCTGTCACGACAGCACAAAGGTCCATAGCATCTAGCTCCGAGCAGAGAGCTTCTTCCTTCTTCTGCTTCTTCGTCTGAGGCTTCTTGCGGCACTCTGAAGAACGGTGGCCCGTAATGCCACAGTTGTAGCATTTCCCCGCGAACTTGGTCTTCGCGACGCCTCCTTTAGGACCAATTTTCTTCTTGTCCTTATTTGGCTTGGGCCCTTTGGAAGAACCCTCTTTGGGTGGATGCTCCACCACATTGGCCTTAGCAACAACTACTTTCTTCTCGTGAGTGAGACCCTCCTCATGGATTCGGAGACGAACAAGCAACTGTTCTAAAGTCATCTCTTTCCGTTTGAGCTTGAGATAGCTCCGGAACTCATCCCAAGCCAGCGGTAGCACATGGATAATCGCCACCACTTGGAATGCCTCACTGACTCCCATTCCCTCGTCAGTGCACTCATTAAAAATGAGAATCAATTCTTCAGCTTGACTTACCACGGGTTTGGAATCCACCATCTTAAAATCCAAGACCTTACCGACAATGAATTTCTTCGCACCGGCATCTTCGGCCTGGTATTTGTTGGACAATGTAGTCCATAACTCCTTTGCGGATGCAGCCCCGCTATAAACAGCATATAAGGCATCGCTCAAGCAATTCAGGATAAGGTTAAGGCACGTATAGTTATTTGCTATCCATGCTTCTTTAGCCTGAACTGTTGGCTCGTCAAAGTCTTGGATGCCAGAAACAAATACAGAAATATTATGGGTAAATTGGTTCTTGACCCTAATAATCAAACCCTCATCACTGAAAGTGAGGTTATAAGGAAGAGAGCCAATTTCCTCCAGGATGCAGAAAAAAGCTTTTTCCAGCTGAAAACCAAGTGTGAGTTACTCATTGAAGGGGACAAATGTAGTAAGTTTTTCCACAACTTGATGAAAAAGAAGACAGCATCAAATGGAATCCCTTTCCTTGTTACTGACCAAGGGAATCTGACTCAATCACTTGAGGACATTGCTAAGGAATTCATTCATTACTTCACCCAACTTTTTGGCTGTACTGTCCCCATTCAACAGCTAGATTGGAGTGTTTTCTCTGAAGGTCCTTGCCTTGCTGCCATGGATGTCACACAACTCACAAAGGAGGTTGAAATTCAGGAGGTCAGGGAGGCCCTATACTCAATAGGCAATAACAAATCTCCAGGCCCTGATGGATATACAACAGCCTTCTTTAAGGACAAATGGAACATTGTTGGTCAAAACATGTTTGAAGCTATTTTTAAGTTCTTTAGAAGTGGAAAGCTCCTCAAGCAATTCAACCATGCCACTGTGGTGCTTATACCAAAGGTGAAGGATAATCCTGGGGTGAAAGACTTCAGGCCTATTACCTGCTCGAATGTTGTTTACAAAATCATCACCAAAATCCTATCCAATAGGATGAGTAGTGTCCTACCTGGCCTTATCAATCACTCCCAGGCTACTTTTGTGAAAGGGAGAAATATGGTTGATAACATACTGCTAGCACAACATATTGTTAGAGGTTATGCCAGGAAGAGATCACCACCAAACTGCATGCTAAAGGTGGATATTACTAAAGTCTATGACACCATTGACTGGGGCTTCTTGAAAAATGTGATGAAAGGATTGGGTTTCCCCTCTAGATTTGTACACTGGATAATGGAATCTGTTACCACTGCTAGCTTTTCACTCTCAATTAATGGAGGGCTACATGGTTTCATTAAGTGTAAAAGGGGGATCAGACAAGGAGACCCCATGGCACCTACACTATTCCTATTTTGCATTGAGTATCTGTCAAGAGTACTAAACAAAATAACCAGGGAAAGGAAGTTCAGTTATCACTCAAAATGCTCCAAACTGAAGATTTCCCATATTGCTTTTGCAGATGACATTATGATGTTTTCTAGAGGTGATCACAATTCTGTCCAGGTCCTAGCTGATGCCCTTAAACATTTCTCTATGGTGTCTAGACTGCATGTGAATGCTCATAAATCCAACATCTACTTGGCTGGACAAATCAAGGGCAACACACAACTGCTTCTCAACCTTGTTAACTTCCCTTAGGGCAGGCTGCCTGTTAAATACTTGGGCCTTCCACTCACTTCTCAAAGGGCAACTGAAAGAGACTTTGCCCCCCTTGTGGATATTGTTGATGCAAATATTAGAAGATGGAACACTAAAACTCTGTCCTTGGCTGGAAGAAGTGAACTGATTAGGACAGTTATACAGGGTATTGAAGGATTTTGGTTCCAAGCTTTCCCCATCCACAAATCTGTCCTCAACAGAATCATCTCCCTGTGCAGATCATTCCTTTGGGGCAGTAAATTTTATAAAGTGGCTTGGGATGACATTTGCAAACCCAAGGAGGAAGGAGGCCTGGGCATCAGAAACTCCTTTGTTTGGAATCAGGCTCTGTTGGCCAAAAATCTGTGGAACATTGCCTCCAACAAGGAAACTCTTTGGGTACAGTGGGTACATTCTGTTTACCTCCAAGGGAGAAGTATCTGGACTTGGATCCCCAAAAAGGGGGATTCACACCTCTTCAAAAAACTGGCTGAGGTGAGGGACAAGCTTGTTCATAATGTTGGTGATGCATATGATGATGTGGAAGAAACTATGAGCTACTTATGGGAGGAGGAAGGGGGAAACACTGCCAAACTGTATGACATTTTAAAGGTTCATGGTCTCAAGCAACCCTGGATGAAAATTATATGGCAGAGTTACATTCCCCCAAGGTACTCAGTTACTGCTTGGATGGCACTGCGCAAGAGACTTCCCACAAAGGTTAATCTTAGCTTTGTGGACATGGACAGGAAGTGTAGTCTCTGCAATGAGGGAGAGGAAACAATTGACCACCTCTTCTTTGAGTGTACTATCAGCAAAGCCATTTGGAAGAACATTAGAGACTGGCTACACATTTCCCCTGCCCTATCTACTATTGAAAGATACATGAAATGGGTGTGTAGAAGACATGGACAACATGGGGATGTAGGGAAACTCTGGAAACTGTCCACCATCAGCACAATCCATCATATTTGGAAGCTGAGGAATGCTGTGTATTTTGATAACCAAGCTGTCAACAAAGATGCCACTATCTGCCAAATCAAGGTGGGAGTCTATAAAGTTGTTTATAGATTCTTCCCTAATGTTATGATTGCACTGTAAGTCCACCCTTCTCTTTGGATTGATTGTCCTGTTTTCTTTTCAGTTGGTCCTCTTTGCCTAACCTTTCCCTTCTGATTGAGAATTGGTTATGCTTACTCTTGGTGGTGGATGTTTGGAAACAAAACTGATGATGGGTGTTTATCCCCTTAGACAAACCTCCATCACTAGTTTTGGGTCCAGGTTTGGGGCTGGTAATCTCACACCCTTTGGTAAACTATTTTACTAATGGCTGTGTTATTACACTAGTGGTTTTGGTGGCTGGGGTGGGAACAAGGCAGATCTTGGAGATGCCTTAGTGGATCTCTAAGTTCATCCTTGGGCCAGGTTAGGGGCTGGAGACCTACTGTCCTTGGCTAACTTGTGAGTTGCCTCGGACTGGTAGGATTTCTGGGGGTGCTGGGGGACATTTTGGAACAATACACACCCTATAGTTTCCTTGCTGAATCTCTAGAGAGTATTTTGGGCAAAAACTGCTTCCCAAAATTTGTTTTCCTTTCTTCAAAAACCTAGACCAGTAATCTTTGATTAATGGCCTATGCATTTTCTGGTGGCTGGCAGTTAGGAAACAAAGCTATTGATGATTATTTACCCTTTGAGTAAATAACCACCAATACCTTTGGGTCCTGGTTAGGGGTTGGAGGGAGTAAATCCATAAGTAAACCTTGGTTACTAATGGAAATACAACCTCACTGGTGGGCTCTGTTGTTCTGGAACTAGTAACACCCTGAGGATGCCTTGGTGGATCCCTAGGGAGTAACTAGGGCCATGGAGTTTGGTTCTTGATGGATTGGAACAGATCACTGGTGTGGATTTTGACTGTGATTCTCTTGATGGGTGCTTCTGAAACAATGTTTTGTACCCTTGGTGTGA